TGATGGATACTTTGAATTCGGATCTACATTTTGTGAATGTATTAAGTTCCTTTAATTTAAATAGAATGTGCATTTTAATGTGCTACTTGTAGTTTAAAATCTTTGAATTGCGATTCTTGTAAAGGTAATAGAATATAAGAACCATAATGTATTTGTCAACCAGGCTATTTTGATGATCAAATAAATGAAGATTGCTAATTATGTGATAGTGCCTGTTTAGAATGTAATATAAAAGGATGTTTATCTTGTAATGCTAATAGAATATTAAATGAAGAAATGGATTGTGTTCCTCCACCAAATTCGATTTGGTATAATGATACCCCTTGGTGTTCAAGTAAATTAATCCTTATATTTCTTATAGCTTGTGAAGTCGCTGTTGTCAAAGCATATTTATCAGATGATATTAGTAAGATTATTATTCATTTTGATTTTCCATTAAATTCAAAAGGATTTAATTAATAATTCGAACTAAATAAATGTTTGTAATTATTTGAGTTGAAATCTTTATAAAGTTTTGGTTAAAATTCTTAATGTTTCATTAATCCAGACGATAATCATGAATTGCTAATATCTTTAGGAGAAAACTCAAAAATAAATGTTGGAGATGAAATACTATTTATAAGTAATTCTTTATCTCATATTAATTGTGAAACTACTTTAAACAAGTTTATCTTTACAACATTATAAATGCCAATAAAACCATTTGCTCCATAAGTTGAATATCATGTACCTGTTCATTAACTCAATCCTTTTGCAAAAAACTCAGTTTATTTGAAATCAATAAAAAACTATGGAAATAGAAAATTGGATAATATCATTTGGAATTTTTAAGTTGAAACAAATTAAGATACATAACCATTAGGTGATTTCATAGATTAAATGAATTTTCTATAAGAATATAATTTATTGATACCCAAATTTACATTACCTAGTGATGCAATTCTAAAATTTAAGATCTAATATTAAAATTTCATCCATATTCAGTCATATTCAGAATTTATTATATATACCCATTCAGGAGATCTACCATACATTGATATAAGTGTAAAACCTTCATATTTTGTCTATGAAACAATCACTATTGGATTATCAGCTGGCACTTTATTTAAATCGAATTAAGTAGACAATTCTAAATATATGGTCTAACTTAGTGAAATTAATAGATATCCTAAAAAGTTGTCTCCTTCAAGATTAAATACATCATTAGAAACTAATCCATTTGAAAAAATATAAGCAAATATTACAAAATATACATTAAGTCCAAATTCAACTTATACTTTCTAAGTCATAGCAACTAATTTAAATACTAATAAAGTACAATATTAAAATTTGAGTATTGATATTCCATTTGCTGGATTGATCTGCTAATTTAATAACAGAGGAATTTAAAGTATAAGAAAAGATTTAAATCTCTAAGTAAAATGCAAAGATTTAGATACAACATATGATTGGAATATTGATCCTGATTTGTATATTTATGTAACTTGCAAGGACTTAACATTAAATAATTCTTGCTTAAACTAATAAAAATAAATGATTAATGTTAATGTAACTGATTCAGTTTAATTCATCAAGAAGAATACAATTTCTGTATTTACTGTATAGGAATGGTCAGTAATAGTAACAAAATTCTAATAAACTTAAAAATTTAATTAAATTATTGTATATCTTGAAGATGATTTTCCTGTTTTAGATTTAGAATTCAATTAGGGTTATTTAATGAGAAAAGTAAATAATTATGAATAACTTAATTTTACATTTCTAATCCCATTTAATTAAAAACCCTTTTTATTAGATTTATCAATAGCAATCATCTATAACTATGAAATAATAGAAATACTTTAACCAAAATACATTTCTCATCAATTTAAATTATTTAATAGTATTAAAGAGTTAAACTTTGGTGATAGCATCAGTCTTAAACTTACAGCATAATATACAAACAATATAATGCCTAGTCTAAATACCTTAAAACTTAATATAAATTAACCTCCCTTCTGTTCTAAATTAATTATTACGCGTTCAAATGATTTAGCACTTACAAATATGATGGTTGCCACTAGTTGTGAATAATCAAATGATTCTCCATATAAATATTAGCTTAGAGTATTTTTGAGAGAATCAGATTTAACAGATTTTTTGAAGGGATCATCAGATAATTCTTTAATTCTTTATTCATTTCAGTATTAAACTCAATTTTCAATTTAAATTCCTACTTCTGTCGATTCTTCAAAAATTGGACTTTTATTATAAGTGCTTGACAGTGGAGGATCAATAACTAATATTTATGAAATGATAACTTCAAAACCTGCTATCATAAATTGCTCTTAAATATAATTTTAAAATTTGAATTTATAAAACAAGATTTCATTGTTATTTGAAGCTATGAATTAAAAATGTAATGATTTACATTACTAAATTTATCTTGATTTGCTTTACTCTTAAATTTTACCAGATTAGAATGATAATACCCTTAAATTTTAGGCTATAAAATTATATAAGTAGTTTTAAATTTAATATGGATAAAGCAAACCTTAAACTAGATTATTAATTGAAGCAAATTAAAAAAAATGTTATGATTTAAATTCTAACCATTTATTTATTACATAAAATTCTAGTGAGAGTAATGTTAATTTATCAAAAAAGATAGAAGACTTAAAAGAAAATATAAAGAAATTAGATTTATCTTTCAATTATCTTCGCACAATTAAACAGCAAAGTGAAAAGGAGCTTCTTGAATATAATTATATCTGGAATTAAGAAGTTTTTCAATAACTCTAAAACTCTTAAGAAGGGTTAATAAATCTATTATATTATATTGATGAAATATATACCAACTTTATTTCAGTAAATACAAAAAATGCGACAATTTATATGAGTATTAGCGAATTGTTAAAGTATATAAAATTTATTACAGAAGAAATATAAAATACAATTATGATTAACGAAAAACCCTTAATAGTTTAAGGCCAAGAGGTTATTTGGTAAATAAAAAGAAGAACAAAATAAATATTTAATTAGCAATTTAATATTGAAGCTGCTTAAGAAGATTATCTGATAGATTTTATCCAATATGAATAAACATCTCTTTAAACTAATCCTTTAAAATTAACTACAGATTTAGATAATATAATCTAATAATAATTTAATGACAAAACTTTAAAAATTTTTTCAGATAATTACTACTTAATTAATTTAAAAAATATTTATAAAAGCAGATATATATCGTATGGAAATATTTCATCCTCTTATAGAACAAAATTCGGAACTTATGAGATCTGCTCAAATGAATCATAAAAAATTGAAGAATATGAAATATAGTGTATGTCTAGAACAGTCTCCGGAATATTCCATTAATGTTATTTAAATACAGCCTAAAATGAAGAAACTATAGAATTAACTTGTGAATGCAATAGTTTTGGGGAAATTTTTTTAATTTCTTCTACAAATTTTAGTTTAGAAGATTTAAAAAATGATACTTCATAACAACATGATCTTTATATCATTTCAGCCTAAGTTAATTTATTGCCTTTAATCATATTTACCAGTTCTTTGTCGATATTATTTTTAGGAACATATTCTTTTTAATTATTTAGAGATTTAAGAGAAAAATCAGAAATTTATGAATAAGATTAAACCATTTTAAGTATTAAAAATTAGAATTATAAAAATTAAATGATTTACAAAGGAAATTAAAGAATCTTCAAAGAAAAATTAAAGGTATTTTTTAATTTTTTAATTAGTTTATACATCAAACCATATCAATATTTTATTATAAAGATGAAAATATTCAATTCAGTTATAGAATTTTAGAGGTCTGTTCTTAATTTAATTTGTTGTTAGCATTAAATATTCTAGAGTTTTTTTATTCTAACAGCAAAATATCCCTGATATGCGCTTTTATGATCGTAAACCCTCTTATTGTGTTTATTTTGAGAATTATTTATAAAATTATTGAATCAATATATAGATTCAGAAGAATTAATGCAATTATTAGTTAATTGTTATTAATAATGATATTGATATTACCTAATCTTATCATTATTACTTTTAACTACCTGAGGTATTATTAATTATAATTTAGATTGTAAATTCAATAAGAAAATTATTTAATGGCCATAAGCTATTTAGTCAATATTTTGATTTCATAAATCATTATTGAACCAATATCTATATTTGGAAGAATTGCAATTTATCGATTGATAGCATCAAGCCTAAAAGAAATGGAACTTAATCCATTATTTCATTTGATGCATTTTTTTGTTATGCATAGTTGTCTTGAAGAAATATTTGATGAATTTATAAAAATTTGAAAACATATATTTATGTAATATAAAGTTATATAATTTATAAAAATTCAATATAATTTTACATGATACTTTAATAAAATATAAATTAAGTATTGTAAAGTTTGAATTTCTTATATAATTAGATTTAATAGATTCTTAATATATTTCAAGTTTCTAAAATAGATTAAATATAATCCTTTTTTTTAGACGTCGTTAATAATTATATTGTTAATAAATAATCAATTATAATATTAGATAAAAAAAATATAATATAAATCTTATTAATAATTATATGATTTGTAATTGATTATTTATTATATGTATTTGATTTATCAATTTTTTCCAAAGATAATCATCAAAATTTCTAGTATTCTCAAAAACAAAATAACGATATCAATATATAATAACATGGCTGCAATGATATAATCATCAATTGATAAGTAATTAGACTAAAATATGGAACAATATTATTACATGGTTTCCAATAATAAGTTAGGTATCAAATATAATATAGCCTCCATATATGATGACACATATAGTACAAATAAGTAATTAGAACCAAATATTTCTAACAAATAGACCAACTATGCACATAATCAATAAACTCGCACTTAGAACAAAACATAAATGTCCTTGAATATATATGAAGTTATCAACCTAATGCTGAATAATCTGTTTTTGTACGCCATGCATATATTGTGAGCAAAATAGTAATTGCCAAAGTGATAGAGGCTGCAATAATGACTAATTGAACTAATAGACATTTAAAATTGATAATTTACCTCCATTTGATAATAATTCAAAGCAAATGATACATGGTGCAGCCACAACAGTACTAAAACATAAAGTGAAAATAATAAGCAATATGTAGTTGAGAGGTACCTATTTATGAATATTATAAATTGATTACTCTTCTGGCTACTTTTCTACAACAGAAAATTGCAATTTCTACAATAAAAGCAATTAAAAAGCAAATAATAGTGAATGGTGTGTATTAGATTGTTTATGTATTGATGATAGCATTTCTCACATTTTAGAAATAATAAGATGCCAAAATTAACAGAAAGGTGATTGCAAGTTAAAAGCTCATGATGGCATATACTTTGGCAATGAATCCAGCTCTAATTGTTGAATCAGCAGAGCTTACTAAACCCTTGTATTCATTATCATAAGAATTCATTGGATTGTTAAATGCAGCATGATTGTAATTTCCAATTTGATTTGCAAGTTGTTCTGGTTACCTATTGTTATTATCAAAAGGATTTTATTAATTGATAGCTGGTTAATTATATTGAAGTTATTGATTAGGATCATCAGAATAATATCTATTTGTGTTGTTCATCTAACAATTATGAATTTAAATATATATATATATTATAATATAAATAACATAACATACTAATTCAATTGATTTATTTTTATTATAAGTGATGAATGGCATCATTGATCATATTACTCATTTTTCTATTCTAAAGTGTTACTTTACCTAATGATCCTAATTATCTTTCCATTTTGTCAACATTCTTATCCTTATCTTCATTACTCATAAGAAGACTTTGAAAACTTAAATAATTGTAATCCTTTTTTAATGAATATTTTTGAATCACCTTATGCCTAATTAGGATATAATGAGATACTATTCCAATTCCTTGATAGTTTTTGAAGATTCTAGAATTGATTTTTTGATATCAAAGAGTTCTTAAAACTTTTATTATTCCAAGATCTTATTAATGGAATTGACTATATCTCTTAATTGATAACCAGCTGTAAAATTCCATATTTCCCCTTATTAATTAACTTTTGGAATAATGAACAACTTTTGCAACTATTGGAAATTCAAATGAATATGGTTTGTATCTTCATCTGGAAAGAAAATAGCTTATAAATCAGGTTTAAGTGAAACTTGAAATTTGATAAATTTCTCTAACCTTTAATCATTTTACCATAATTTTTTAAGTTAATCCAATTTAGAATGAAATTCTTTAATTAGTTCTATTAGATTATTTATAGCATGATTATCTGATTACATTCTTCTTGCTGTAGATTATTCAGATAAGCAACTTCTTGAAATTTCATGTTAAGGTATTTTAAGAGATTAATTAGATGAAATCATATCAATAGTATCTTTGCTATCAAGGTTAATTGGTTTAAATTTGTTATCAGTTGAGAAATTGTTTTTAGTAGGTGGAATTATATACTTTTTAGATTTCTAATCAGCTTTGATTTAAGATACATAATGACTTACATTATTAAGGATTTTATTCATATCATGTTTAATTTATCTATTGTTTACTTTTGCTATTTCTATTTATTCTAAATAGACATTAATTGATGGTGCTCCAAGACTTTGATTTCTGATTCGATTTAGAGTTAATTTACGTTTAGGTTATAGTTATTCTTAAGATTCACTTTAAAGTTCTACAGATTGACTTAAATGTTTAGGGAACTCTTATTAAAGTTACACATTTTTGGGGGAGTGGAAAGGTTCTTTGGTTTTTGATTTAGTTTACTTTATACAATCATTATTATGTATTGGTATATGAGGTGCCTTATAATTAACAAGACTATCTAACAAAGTGAATTTAGAAAAACCAAAGGATTTCATAAATTTATTTATATATATATATATATATATTTTAATTGTGAGATAGATGGAATTACTAAAGAGAGGATTTTAATTTTTGGTTAAGATACACAGCAAATTAATACATAAATATTATCAACATATATACAGAAAGAGAAAATTGAAAACATTCTTGATGGGAGTAGGTAGATATGGAAATGTATAAAATTATAAGGATCTTTGTACTTGCTTAGAAGATTATCACAATTGGCGATGGCATTGACACCTACAATAAGAATAAATTTACTTGGAAGATATGGAGAAGATTCTTGGGCTGTAGTAACAGGAGGATCAGATGAAATTGGTAAAGAGTTTTGTATTTAATTGGCAAAATAGAAATTCAATATAGCCATTATAGGTAGGAATGCTTAGAAAATGGATTAAGTTTGTTTAGAATTATAGACACATGGAGTATAGACTAAATTTATAGTGGCTGATTTTAATGAAGGATATACAGTTGATTTTTATAATAAAATCTATGAATAGCTTGAGTATTTAGATATATCAATTTTGGTCAATAATGCTGGAATAGTAGAAGCTGGACAATTTGAATAAATGAAGATGGAAGATTCATTTATGATGTTAAGAGTGAATGCATTATCTACTATAATGATGACTAGAATCTTAATTAACAAATTATAGAATAGAATTAAGAAATCTGCTGTCATTACAATTTCATCTGGATTAGCATATTTACCTAGTCCATTTGTAAGTGTTTATAGTGGAACAAAAGCATTCACTAATTATTTTACTTAATCTTTAGCTTTGACTTCAAAAAATACAGACTTTTTAAGTGCAACTCCTTTGGGAATAAGTACTAAGATGTTAGCCAATAGAAAAGGTCCTAATATTATTGAATCTAATGAATTTGTTAAAAATGTGATTAATGATTTAAGAGAAGGTAAAACACATAGTTTTGGTTGTTATCGACATAGAAGATATATTAATCATTTATTATGGAGAAATTAGAATGTTAGAAATAAAGCTAAAATATCATTGGGTACCTATTTGAGAAATGTTAATATAGAAAAAGGAAGATAGGAAGAATTATAAAAATGAGAGAATAAAATAAAATATATATAAAATAATAAGTTAAATGAATTATTTTTTAATTTTAGTGTGGATAGTACTTTGCTATTCAGAAATCATTAATGAGAAAATCAGTTAATTGCCTTCTGATTATAAACATAATTGGTATGGAGGATATTTGAATGAAAATCAAATCTATTATTAATTTCTAGTAAGTCAATCAGATCCAGATTCTGATCCATTATTTATGTGGATGTAAGGAGGACCAGGTTGCAGTTCATTATTTGGTAACTTTTATGAAATTGGTCCATTCTAATTCAAACCTTTATCAAATGAAGTATTCTGATTCATTTTATTTAGTCATTTATCAATCCATACGCTTGGAATAAAAAAGCTAATTTATTATTTCTTGAATTACCAAAAGGAGTTGGTTTCTCGAATCCATCCAAATATTAAAATGATGCATCAGCTGCCTAAGATGCTTTAGATGCTTTATTGGACTTTTTCAAATAATTTCCTAATTATGAAAATAGACCATTTTATATAGGAGGTGAATCATATGCTGGAATGTATATACCATATCTTGCATCATTAATTATTAATTAATCTAAGAATACTATAAATCTAAAAGGAATTCTAATAGGAAATGGTTGTACATTAGGTTCTGAATGTACAGATTTAAAATAACTACCGTTATTTACTAGCAAATATTAATTTAACATTTATTTTTAAAGAGGATTTCTCAGTCTTGAAGACAAGTAATAATTCTTATAATTATTATAATAGATAAAAGTATGATCAATTATGTTTAGATTTTATATCACCTAGATGCATTGAATTATAAAAATAATTATTAGCTAAAATTTAATACTCAAGAGTAGATATTAATAATTTGTTAGGAGAATGTTATCATAATGACCCTGATGTTTAATAAGGAAATGGTTAAAATAAAAGAAATCATCAAAATAAACATAAAAGATTTTTGCATTTCAAAGGTATTACTGAATTACCATGCAATTATGAATATGGAAACTATTTCATGTTAAATAATAAAACTGTTTAGGATATTATGCATGCTAAACATATGAAATGGAGTTCATGTAGTTCTAGCTTAGACTTTAAAGAAGATGAATAAGGATCATATCGTTTTTATTCTCAATTCTTACATTATGGTCTTAAGATTTGGATTTATAGTGGTGATGTTGATAGTAATGTACCTATTACAGGAACTTTAGATTGGATTCAAATGCTTGTTAAAGAATAAAATCTATAAGAAAGTGATCCATGGAGAGCATGGTATATGGAAGGCAAGAAACCTAGATAAAGATAGGTTGGTGGTTTAACTTGGGAATTCAATAAATAACTAAGATTTATTAGTGTAAGAGGAGCTGGACATGAAGTTCCATTTTGGAAACCATAAGCTGCATATGTTCTTTTTGATAACTTTATTTATAATAATACAATTTGAAATCATTATTGTTATCAAAGTAACTTAACTAATTTTTCATAATTATTTTACAAAAAATCAATTATGATTGCCAATTATTCTAAATGACCTTCTTTTTTATTTTGAAATCTATTCAAACCTTTAATACCCATACTTGCTTTTTCTAATTTTGCAACTTGTTTTTAAGCTTAATATATTTAAAATCTAAGAACTTAATATAAGACTTCTCTATCTTTTGCATCAAAATGAGGATCACTAAAAACATTTTTGATTAATTAAATTTTTCTATTTGAAGTCAATTCATTTTCCATTTAATTTTATTATAAGATTAACAAATCTTAAGTACTTACACTATTTTACAATAATTTTGGTTATCTCTTTAAATATCTATCATAATCTTATCTATCTAATCTAACTTTAAAGACATCATCCATTGATAGAAAGTTTAATACTTATTATATTGTATATTAAATGGCTCTACTCAAATGATGTTTATAAGTCTTATCAAAATGTTTATTCTAAAATTTTCTATCTCTTTCTCTTTATTCATATCGTTATTTAAATTAATCATAAATTGGCTACATAGGTGTTACACTATAAAATAGTTTCTTATTCTCTATAAAATTAGTTATTATTTATTTTTTCATCAATCTAGTTACTGCTGGCTTTGATTTCAATCTATTATTCTATCTAACTGTTTCTGGTTTCAATAATTGCTTATCCTTACTTGCATTACTCAAATCTCTTTTATCATATACTTCTCCTTAACAATCAACATGTCTATTGGAAATGTAATTATTGTAAAAGTATGGACTCTATCTCTTATATTCTGCTCTTTCAGTAATTGGAGATGTAATAAAGTTTGGTTCAGATAGAAGATGTTTTCTCATATTCTAAAAATATTATTTATTTTATTCATCAATTATTCCATCAGATGATAAAAGGAGACATATAATTATTATGAATAGAATTATTAATAATTATATTAATATATAATTTATAACAGATGGAGTTAGCTATCATAATGAGTTAGTTTCAATAAGCTATATACTAATTGTAATGTGCATTACGTAAAAATAAAGAAAATGATATTATGAAATCTATGCTTAGAATTATATTTGCAAATGATATCTATGAAGTTGATTAAGATTAAGTGAAAAACTTAGAAAAGACATTTTATTTAGATACTGATACAGCTAGCATTCTTTAAATCTTATTAAGTTCATTTTAAACAAATGGTAATCATTAAAATTTTTACATTAGGATTCCCAGAATTAGAAGATTATCTAAATCTCTTATTATATCGTATAGATTGTGGAATTTGTTTATTAGAATGTCATTCTTCATATTCTTCTAGTCCACTTCAATTTTACTCTAAATATGAAGTAAATGAAAGAATACAAAAGGAGGAATGCATTAAAAAGAAAATCAAAAAGTAAAAAAAGAAACGCTCATCTAATCCATCAAATAATGATAATTAATGTAATAAAAGAAAAGATTGAGTTACTTACTATTTTTAAATTTTATTAGTATAACAAAATAATATATACAAATATTTTTTATAATAATGATATTCTGTAATTTTTATTAAAGATAGTAGAAATATAAATGAAATACGAATATTCAGATAAAATAGAAGAATAAACATGTAAATTAGAAGAATTAATAACTTAAATTCAATAAGATTTAATAGAAATAGAATAATATAAGAGTATTTGTTATAGAAAATGCTAATATTGTTTATAAATTCATGATATTTAAAATAAATCATTTAAGAATTGTATCTAAAACTTATTTTAAAGATCAAAATTATTAATAAATAAAAATGAATCTAATCAAAATAAAAATATTATAGTAAATAAATTTAGAAGTAGAAAATAATTATTATTAAAATCATATAAGAATAAAACTAAATAAACATGGTTGATTTAATAAATATAAAAATGGAATCAATTTTTATAAATTTATTAAAAAAATAAATGTTATCCTGGAAAGATGACAATACATTAAAGATGGACTTTTTATGTTATTAAAGTGTATCATTGTTAGTATTGTTTTAAAGAATTTAAATCATTCTATCAAACTTAATATCATATGAATAAATTTTGTAGAAAGAGATCATTTCCATTTGTAGAAGAAGAACCAATAATAAAGAATAAAATTATTAAAACTATTTTTAAATAATTTTGATTATTTTAAATTACAATAATTTTGATTATATTAAATTACAAAATATTATATACATAAAATATATATTATAAGAAATTTACAATTATGGATTGCATAATATAATATTATAATGTATTACAACAACAATTTAGATATAGAAATTATTTTACTTGAAAATAATAAATAAAATAATAATGCAGAATTTAAAAATAAGAAAATTTAAATAAAAAAACTATTTCAATAAGGAATAGAATTGATTAAGAAAGATGAAGTTTTAAAGGATAGTCCATAAATTTATGAATTAGCCAAAAAGAACCTTATAAAATGGAAGAGATATTTAAATGATTTATTGAAATATCATAAGGAATAGAGGGTGATTGAATTATTAGAAAAGAAAAGAAAAACTTTGAGAAAATATGAAATTAGTGGAATTCATCCAGATTTAATAGTGAAAAAAGGATATTGGGTTATTTTTATGGAGTATAGATGGGAATGTAGGAAATGTAATAGATAATTTATGGATAATCTAAAAGCAAAGAAACATATGAGAAAAATATGTTTTAAGGGTGAATATGGATAGAAATCAGAAGAAAAATAAGTTATAATAAAGAAGATATTCAAGAGAGCTTGATAAATGTGAATTATTTAGTTAAATTTGATATAGTTATTAAAATAATTAAAATGAAACAGACAAGAGTTCAATCTGCTGCAACAAATTCTCGTCTTCGAGATAATCATTATGATCCTAAGGTGCACGCAAAAGCTTGGATTGCTCCAGGTAGATATTGAAATTTAAATTAGGAATATTCAATTAACTACCTAAATATGAGCATTTAGATTCTGGTCTAGTGGTCATTCATTAAAAGAATAACAAAATGAAAAAATTTAAGGAATTATCAGAATTAAACTAAGAGATTCAGGAAATGTAAAATAAGGATGAATTCAGAAAGTTCAAAGAGTTTGAGAATCTATATAATGGAGATTTAGTAGTGACAATTGAATATTGGTATACATTTGAATAACAGTCTATAGTACAAATTGTGCTTAGCATGCAGGATCTACTAGACATGATGAAGAGAAATATTATACATTCGCCACCAATTTAAAATAGGAACTTATTTAGTAATATCCAACAGCTAAGGTTTACTTGAAACCATTGATATACGATCCCCATGACTATTCAATAGACACACTCTATATTCAAAGAAGAATTGGAGCATTTGAAGTACAGGTCTGCTCTAAGAATAGAGATTAAGTCAAAAAAGGCTTAGTATTTTCCAAGTTGAATACTAAAATGTGGCCTAATTATACAGAAGTCATTGAAAGAATCAGTGATTATTTAAATACTGCTCCATTAGAAATTTATGTCAGTTTTGGTGATAATATTACAGGAAATCTTAATAATATAGAAGTTTCTTTGACTCCTCATAGACAAGATAGACCATAATCAAGTGTCTCAAGGATATCTTCATAAACTAAAAGAACAAATAAAACTGCCACAAAAGATAGAAAAATTACAGCTAAAACGAATAATCAAGGATATATTAAATTATAAGATGTCCCTGTTGATGTCTACATTGTAGAAGTTTAAGAATCTAATGATTATCTTAATGAATAATTACTATTGAATATGGTAGATTTGGCTGAATAAAGTAATGATACAATATAAGTTATTGTTAAACTTAGAAAATAAACTCATTCATATTTGGATATTAAAATATTTAATTAATAGGGTTCCAGTTTAACTGAAGCCAAAATAACTATTACAAATCTTCAAACTCAAGAATGTATGTTATCAAGAGAAATTGAACCTGGTAGATATGAAGCAATTTTAGAACCTAATTAATATGCCTTTACTATTTAAAAAAGAGGATACAAAGAATTATCTTAAAATATTGATGCAGTCTAAGGAGTCAATGAATTTAAATTAATATTGGAAGTAGATCCAAATGATTAATAACCAATAAAACCACCTTAATCAGCCAAATAATTATAACCAATATAAAAACCAAGTAGTGCTCGTCCAACAAGTGCTTAAAGATCATAATAAGGTAATAATACAAATCAATCTTAATAATAAATGAATAAATAATAATAATAATAATAATAATAATAATAGTAATAATAGTTACCACCAAAACCAAAATCTTAATAATAATCTATGTAATCTTATGAATAACCTGAATATATGGAACCAACCAAATAAGAAGCAATATCAAATCCTAATAGACCTATTTCAGGTTATAAATCTACATAAGTGTTTATTTATGATCCATATACTAATTTACCTATTGAAGGAGTTTAAGTTATTTTGAATGAAGAATCTACAAAATAAGCATAAACATATGTAACAGATTAAGAAGGAACTTGTAGAATTATTTTATAAGGAGTTTTGGAGGGAAAAATGGTGATTCAAACGTATTTTAATCTAATTTATTATTTATTAGAGAAGGATATTTTCCAATAGTTGAAGAATATGGAACAACATAATCTAAAATGAATTTGTATCAATTAAGAGAATTATCATTTCCTTTGATTTAACATTTAGAAGATAAAAATTCAGTTATGATACTAGTTCAAACTAATGTTGAAGTAATGCCAATTGATATCAAAATGATTCTACCTGATAATGTGTAGATTGATTAAAGTCATTAAAATGTACTTTATGATTTGAATGATGATTCTGGTTGCTAAAGAATAATAGTACATGATCTTCATACAAAGAGAGGTGTATATAGAATAATAGCAGATATTATTGAACCTGATTATGTACATCCTCAACATTTAAAAGTGTATATCATAACTAATAAAGATTTGAAATTAGTTGATGTACCTAAAACTATTACTTAAGAATAAATTTATTGGGATATTGGTGTAATTTGTGGTAAATAATTTAATTATTTAATATATTAGCTCCAAATTCTGGATTTTTAGAGATTAATACTCCAACTGATGAAATTTTGAAAAGAGATAAATATCTTAAAGATTATTAAAGTTTATTGTAATTTTTAAAGAATTCTAAGAATATGGATTTAAAAACAATTTTAGGATTTAATGATAAGGAAAAACTTGAATTATAAGGAGATATTTTTGTATAGAAAGAAAAGATTAAGAATACTCTTGATAAATATGGTTTTGAGGCAATAACAAATCTTGATTATTTGATATATTCAGCTATGATGTCTAATGGATTGTATAGTTTTAAAAGATTGGAATAGAAATTTGGTAATTTAGATTTTGAATTTATATTTGATGATGAGAATTCAACTAGTAAATAAAAGGAAATGAGTGAGGATGAACCTTATGATGATGATTATGATATATGAAATTATTATTAAATTAAAATGACTGATAAATTATATGAATTTTCGACTCTATTTGGTATATGTTAATTATTGATATGTTTATAGAATACAAATATGAAAATGTAAATCCAAAAGGCAACTATGTTTAAAGATTTCAATCAAAAAATAGAAAAATAACATCTAATCGTCCAGATTATGAATTGCCTAATAATTCAATTCAAACTAGTAAATACACCTTAATCAACTTCATTCCTAAACAACTATATGAATAATTCTCAAAATTAGCAAATATCTATTTTGTGGTAATATCATATTTTAAGAAATAGATTATAGGTGCATTATAAATGATTCCAGAAGTTTCAATTAGTTCAGGTGTTCCAACAATTTATTTACCTTTAAGTTTTATCATCTTAATAAGTGGGGCTAAAGATTTCTATGAGGATTACAAACGTCGTAAATCTGACAATGAAGAAAATAGATAACCTATTTTAACATATGATGGCTATAAATTTGTGACCATACCTTCTAGTTCACTCTATGTAGGCTAAATAATCAAAGTAAATTAAGATGAAGTCATACCTGCTGATATTCTGATACTTAGAAGTAGTGAATAGAAAGGAATCTGTTATGTTGAAACAAAATCATTAGATGGTGAAACAAATCTTAAATAAAAGAATGTTCATATTGATCTATTATAAACCTACATTTCAGATGATTGTTTTGGTTAAGAGGATAAGAGAATTATTTTAAAATATTAAGCACCTACACCTTATCTATATTAATTTATAGGTGAAACAACTACATCATAATAGAAAGTGTCTGCAATGAATTTCAATAATTTCATTCTTAGAGGATGTAATCTAAGAAATGTTAAATATGTATTTGGATTGGTAACTTACACAGGGAAAGATACAAAAATAATAATGAATTCAACAATAGCAAGATCAAAAAGAAGTAAATTGGAATAGTAAATGTAGAAATTTATACTAATAATCTTTTTAACTTAATTGATATTGTGTATAATAGCATCTATAGTATATGCAATTTCATTTTATAATAAAAGGAATTTATTAAGTTATTTAGATATTGAGTCTTTTGATAATGAATATAATATAGCTTATAATTTTTTTGTAAGATTTGGTAATTGGATTTTGATCTTTACTAATTTTGTACCTATATCTTTATTGGTAACATTAGAGATGGTGAAGTTTATATAAGGGAAATTTATGACATTGGATGATAGATTAAATCAACCTAAAGTACAATCATCAAATCTAAATGAAGAATTGGGTTAAGTAGAACATATATTTTCAGACAAAACTGGTACATTAACGTGTAATATAATGGAATTTAAATAAATAATTATGTATTAAATTCAATAAATCTAATAAGAGGTAATTAAAATTATGGAGATGTAATTGAAAATTAAGAGGATTACTTAAGTAATGATGAAATACTATCATATCCATAAGTAACGAATGTAGATTTTAGAGATAAAAAACTTATAGAAGCAATATAAGATTAGAATCATTTTATGCATAAATAAGTGAAAGATTGTCTAATAATGCTTAGTATTTGTCATACTGTAATAGCTGATTAAAAAGATAATAAATTAATATATAATGCTACATCTCCAGATGAATTGGCTTTATTAAATTTTGCTAGATTTGTGGGATTTGAATTTTTGGGTTCAGATGAAAATGGTATAAAGAGAGTAAGATTTAATAATGAAATTTTGGAATTTTAATTATTAGAAGTATTTGAATTTACTTCTTAAAGAAAACGATAATCAATTTTAGTACAAATAAGAAATTCAAAGGAAATAATATTATATTCAAAAGGAGCAGATTCAATATTATTATCAGAAACAAAGTTATCATAAAAAGAATTATAGAGTGAAGATTATCATAATTTAGAAAATAAATTATAAGAATATGGAAAGGTTGGATTAAGAACATTAGTTTTATGTAAAAGAATAATTGATATTTAAACATATTAAGAATGGAATAAAAGATATTAAGAAGCAGCATAAAGTCTTGAAAATAGAGAAGAAAGAATGTAAACATTATAAGATGAATTAGAAAAGAATTATGAAATTTTGGGAGCAACTGCAATAGAAGATAAATTATAATAGAATGTAGCAGATACTATATCAGCAATTAAATAAGCAGGAATTAAAGTATGGGTATTAACAGGAGATAAAATAGAAACAGCAATAAATATTGGATATTCTTGTTAATTATTAACAAATGAATTAGTTTAACATGTAATAGATGAGAAAATGGAATCACTTGTAGTAGAAAAATTGAATGAAACAATAGGATTAATTAGTAAATAACCACATAATTAACATGCATTGATAATATCAGGAGATGCTTTATTACATTCTTTGAAACCACATATAAGAAAGAATATGATTTAAATAGGAGAATCATGTAATGTTGTATTATGTTGTCGTGTAAGTCCAAAATAAAAATAAGATGTAGTTACATTAATTAGAAATTAAAAAAAGAATGTATGTACTTTAGCAATTGGAGATGGAGCTAATGATGTTAATATGATAACAGCAGCACATGTAGGAGTAGGAATAAGAGGTGTAGAAGGATAATAAGCATCTAGAGCAGCAGATTATAGTGTATAAGAATTTTAAGAATTGAGAAGATTATTATTTTATCATGGGAGAGAATGTTATAGAAGAAATAGTACTTTAGTATGTTACACTTTTTATAAGAATATTTTGGTTGTACTTCCATAATTTTGGTATGGTATTTTATCAATGTATTCTGCTTAATCCTTATATGATACATTTATATATTAATTATTTAATATATTGTATGCAGCATTACCTATAATGATATATGGAGTATTTGATGAAGAACATGATGCAGATATACTTACAGAAAATACATAAGATAATTATTATGAATAGGGACCATAAGGTAAATTATTCAATTTAAAAATATTTCTATTTTGGGTATTTTAAGGATTATGGTAAACATCCATTATTTGTTTTTTTCCTACATTTTGTATATCATCTAATTTCATTGATGATAATGGATATATGTAACATTTATGGGCTTAAGGTACAATGATTTTTGGATTAGTTATTGTTGTATGTAATCTTAAAGTACTTATATTTTCAAATGTTTACACACCTGCTTTATTAGTAATAATAATTATTATTAATTTTAGGGAAGTATATCTTTTAGTATGATTTCATATTTAATATCTTGGATTATATTGGATAATATAAGTCAAGCTGAAGCATATGTTGTATTAGAGAGGTATTATGAATTTTATTATTTAGTTTATTTGCTACTCCTAATTTCCATTTTGGTAATATTTTAGTTATTGTAACTATTGTTGCTATAGATTCGGCTATTAATTTAAAATTAAGAAAAATGATGATTGCATCAAAAAAGAAAAATTAACCAATTTATTAATAACCAGAAAAGAATGATTAAGTTATAAAAGTAATTAATAGAGCTAATACTGGATTTGCATTTAATTATTTAGATGTGGATGAACTAGAAAATCAAGAAAAGATTGAATTATATAATTTAGAAAATTAAGTTGTTCCAGAAAACTTTAATAATAATAATATATATTGATTAATTATTATGATATTATATTGTTTTAGTATTTCAATTTATTTTAAATTCAATTTCATATTCTTGATTATTATCTTATTATTACATTTAATCTTGCATTTTCATCAATATAATAATTTAATTAATTCTTTAAATTCTCTATTAAATACATATTCTTTTATTCATATACTAAACCTTATTATAAACGAGAGAATTCTTCAGAAATCTATTTCAATTCATTTTTTAATTATTCTGTTTCCTATTCATATTTTATTTATTATTATTCCATTTATTTCTTTAATTCATATTCCTTTTATATTATACTATGTAATCTATCATTTTCCATACATAACATTAAATATCTCTATTATAATTATTATAATGGCATCAATTATTATTAAGATTATAATTTAACTTTTAATGAATCAACTTCAAATTTCAATTAAGTAACTTATTATTATGATTAACTTAAACTTTAACTAGTAGCATGTATTTATTAAGTCTTATGTGTTATTTCATCTTATAATTCTTTATTAAATTTATCTATAATCTAATATTATTAATCTTTTTATTAAGTCATAAATTAAACTTTTTAATTTATTGTATTTAATGTATTTCTAATTTCTTAATTTTCTAAATTCTTCTCTTCTAATATTGCCTTAAATTTAAATATCTCTTAATCTTTAAATTATAATTATTATCTAAGTAATTAAGTTTCATCTTAATTTTTATTTTAAGAATGACATTAAGATTCTAATTAATGTTATAAATCTTTGATTACTTCTTACTTTATTTTTATTTCTTTCAATTATTATTCAGATACTTTTGATATCTATTCTAATTCATTTATCAATCTTAATTAATCTTAATACATTTTATCATAACTATGTTTTAAATTCTCATAATCTATTGCTTATTAATTAATCTAATCTTTCATTTTTTAATTATGCTATATTAATATTTTTATCTCTTTCTCTTTCTCTGGATCATTTGTATTCTATCTCTTTTATTGATTATATTCATTTCCTTTAGAAAATTAATGTTATGAAGGACTGAAATGTTATTAAGTTGATGGACTTATTCTTAAAGGTGAAAAAATGTTTTCTTTTCTATGCATTAATGGCATAATCTATTAAGATGGTTAAAACACAAGTCTTCTCTCTATTGGAGCTGTATATTACATTTTCTGTTAAATTTTTTAATCTTAAATAAATATTAATTATTATTTTACAAATATTCTCTAAAACCATTTTTACATTTAATTTAATAATAACTAAAGATGGAATTTGAATTAACCAATTAAACCCAATCATCAAATTGCAGTATAGAATAAGATAAATCATAATCACTTGATACTTTTGATATTTTCCATATTCCTCCAAATTTTTAATTAGCTATAACACATAGAGTATACATATATATATATATATAGAAATCCACTTATATATAAAAATTAGATTATAATGGTGAAAAATGTAATTGTTGTGGCAGAACAATAGCAAATTCAATTTTACCATTATCTATAGATTTAAAATTAATATCTTAACCAGGAGATGGGGCATCTATTTATTTTTTATTATTAAAGACCTTTATCATTTTATTTTCTATTGATTTGTAATCCTTATATAAGATATAATAGTTTTATTTTTGGTTTATATTCAATCATTACAAATACAATTGGTTTTTAATGTAAAATAAGTAGAATATGTGCTAAGAATTTTATCACTTTTACTTCAACATTAAATAGAAATACTCCAATGTATAATATTCATCAATCTATATAGAACAACTGATATCTTCTATTCACTTTTATAAATTCTCAGTTAAAGTGCAATGTTACTATATATAATTTGGTATGCATATACAGATGAATACTTTCAAGAAATGTTAATATTAAATGATGAAAATATTATTGCAGAATTAACATAATTAGAAGAAATTGATGAATCTATTATTAAACTGAATAAAAATGAAATTTTAAATAAATTTTAAGTATAAAGTCTAGATTCTTTATGTTTTGTATATAAAATGAATCATTTTAAGAAAGAAATAGAAAATTAAATCATTAATAAAATATAATGTGATGGATTGTAAAATTAAATACTTTTATTATTATTAGAAATTTAATAGATGCAATCTAATAGGTCTGTAATTTATAAAATGTATTAAGAGATTACTTAAATTAATAGATTTATTTTTAATCTGCTTCTAAAATCTTTATTACAAAGCCTATTCTTTAGAAAAATTAAATAGAGAAATTATATTTTATTGGAGGTTATAATGTAAGACCAAGTGAAGTAAATTGGTTAATTAATTAATCAATTTAGAAATCTAAAATTTGTAATTGGATTTTCATTATTTTTGGATATGTAATTTAAATATTAGTGGCTAATTTCATACTTACTCAATTAACATTATTAAATGAACAATAAGATGATGAAACTAAAGATTAAGGAAAAGGTTAAAATATATTATAATCATTGTTAATAACAGTATCTATTATCTTTATCAATGAATTCATGATTATGTCAATGAAACCATTAATAGGTTTATTGAATTTGCCATCTTAACATAATAGTTAAATCTTTGTTATGTTGATGCTCTCTATTTTCTATTTTATTTTATAAATATCTATAGTTGTTGATTTAAATTTATAATAATAAGAAGGAAATATGTAAAATGAAATGTGGAAATAAGGTGGATCTTTAGAAACATATTTTTCTATTACAATAGGTAATGGATTTTCTGCATTATCAGAAACTTATTTTGATGCTGCTTATTTCTTTAATAAATTATTTAGAAAATGGAATCATTATTTTATGAATAAATGTTAACTAACCTAATATGAATTGAATTAACTCTATGAAAAAGAAAGTGTAACTTGGACTGATAAAATTGCTTTTATGAATTTTTTGATTTTTGCTAGTATCCTCTTTAGCTAATTCCTACCTATATGTATTCCTGCATGTATTATTGTCCTATTATTAACATATTACTTATAAAAATATCTGTATTTAAATCGTTATACAAAATCAAATGACAATAAATATAATCCTCATATCATCATCTAATTACCATTCTCTATGATATTATTAAATCAATTTGCCATCATCTAAAGTATTGTTTAATATTTCCTAAATGGAAAAAGACCTTTAGATTTATTACAGAATACTAATTCAAATGATTTATAAATAGGTAAAACTGATATCATTTAGTTAATTATTTAAATTATCATTTTGTTTACTATTTACTTCCTATAGAAATTATTTTATCGAAAACACAAAGCCCTTTTAAATCATTAAACTATTCTACTAACAGAATCTCAACTAGATTAATTTAAAAAATTTAATTTAAAACAATAAGTAACAATATAGTAATTTTAGGGTTTTGTTGCTCATAATCCATTAATTAATATAGGTCAAATTGAATAATTTATTGGACGTAAATATGAAGAACTTACTAATGATGAACTTAATCAATATTTATAAAGCATGAAATATTCCCCATAGGAATAATTCTTATAACAATTATCTATAGAAATATATAATAAATTATTGAAAAAGTAAGTTCTAATTTAATATAAGAATTAAGAAAATTAAGACCATTAATAATAATTAACCATCAACCATCTAAGCACTTTGAATAAGAAAATTTTTATATTATATATATATATTTAACTATTTATTTATATCATTAATCTACTTTCAAATTATCTTTAAATATTTTACTCTGCTTTTCATTATTTGATTATTTACGCTTTAGTTGCATCCTTCTTAAAAGGAAATAAGAAATTACTATCAACACCAATAAAATAAGCAGTTTACTTAATAGTGTACTATCCTCTGACTCTTCATTAATTTCATTAATTATTATACTACAAATAGCTTATGATACTGAATTTTCAGCTACCAAGGTAAATGTTTAATTTACCAAATATTCAACCTATTTGTCTAATTTGTATCCTATTTTACCAATATATATTTAACTAGTGTTTCCTTAATATAAAATCAAATGTGTAGTATTCAAAGGATAATAATAATTATATTTTTGATCAATTATTCTTCCAATATAATCAAAAACTATCAGATCTTCTTACAAATCATAAAAATATATAGAATTTGTTTATGATTTTAGAATTAGGCTATTTTTATTATAAAATTATAATCTCATAAGGCCTAATTCTAATCCATGTCTGATTATTTTCTTAATTTTATAAGAAATGGAATAATTATCGATATTTATGTGAATTTGACTTATTATAGAAACTTTTTGTAAAATTTGAAACAGTAATATACTAACATCTTTATAATTAATATTGCAATCTAAAATATAAAATTAGGCAATATAGCTTAAAGTTTAATTTTGACCAATAGGAATGTAATTATTTAATTCATCTAAAATAGTTTCAATTTAGACAATTGCGGTTCCATTAGAAATAAATTAAAATTCAATCAGTTAGAGAATCTGGAATTGTAAATCTTTTCTATTATTCTATTCTGATAGAGTAATGTATAGTTAATTATTGCCTTTAATCTTACTTATTTCTATGATATTGAAATCATTCTCGATATATTGAATAATATCATTAATGATCTAAAAGAACTCTAAATGAGATTAAGATTTAAATATGATTAGATCACCAAATTTTTAAATATGATATTCAGAGTGTGGTATTTTCAGATTAAAATTCATTTCTAAAAAAGGATCTTATTTTAATTGTGAATTATCTTCATCAATTAAATATATAACTCCTCTTAATTATAATAATGAATTTGTTGGATATAAGATTAATATTAATTGTTCATTAATTGGAATTATCTTTGTAAATTCTATTTCTTCTGAATTCAAAATAATTGTTTATCCAAACTCATCCTAAAATACTATTATGTTTTATTCAACTTAATTAATCATAAGAAGGGGTGCAATTATAATATTTTTGATTCTAATTTAATTATTCTGATAAATCCATTATTATAGTAATAATGGTCCATTTATATGAACTTTATCATTATATTCTATTTTTAATGATTCAATAGGACCATAAAAATAATTAGATGTTATGATATTTTATTAATTAATATTTATTGAAAAATTATTACTTTTTTAGAACAATTAATAGCATTAATTATAACTCTTTAATATGAATCCTAAATTAATTCTAGGATCACTCTTATTTGCAGATATAATTTAAAAAGTAACTTTAGTTTTTTCTACTATTTCATTTTTGTTAGGAATATAATTTTCTAATTAAATTTCAAAATTTAGCATATTAAATATCTTAATTTCATCTTCAGAATTATAATAAAATAATTAATATTCTTTAAAAAAGAAGTAAATTCTACTTATTTCAATAACCTTTATCAATTTTGGAGATTTTGTTATTGTTATTTCAAATATTAAAACAAATGTTTTAGTTTGATTTCGACAAGCTATAGCAAAATATTGTGTATTGATCTAATACTTTAATGGTCTAATAAATTAATATTCATCTAAATTTAATGAAGATATTTTGGATATCTATTCCTAATCAAAATAATATTAAATTATTTAATTATCGATGATATGTACTCCTAGGATATATTATTATTAACTTAATATTTCTTTTATTAAAATAATTTAAATGTTTTCTAACCTAAAAAGTTTAACATCTATCTTATGATGAATCATCAAATATTTATTATAATATATATATTTTGGGCTTAATTATGAATAATAAAAATGTTGTGATATTTAATTCTAAAAATTTTATTTATCTTAAAGATAAATTTAATTTAATTTATTCAACATTTAATACATTTATTGATGATATTGAATTATATAGTTATTTAATAAATCAATCACCATAGGATCTTTATTATCTGATGTGAAGACTAAAACAAACTATTAACTTTGAAGTATTCTTATTATCTTGCTATCAATCTTAAATTCAGTAATTTATTAATCTATAAATCTTATAAGTTTTAATTCTTATTTATTCTAATTATATATTAGAATTTAACTTTAAAAAGAAAATACTTGAAAATCTTTAATATGAATTCCAAATCTATTTACATCATGACAATTTTAGAAATAAATGTAGTTTTTAGTTTGAATAACTGAAAAAGATTTTGGAGTTTTAGTTTCATAATATATTAAAATAGTATCTTATTGATTTAAGTTTTATAATTTTGGACATAGTTATTAAAAAGAATGCTAATCCAATATATTCATTCCAAATTCTAAATTTTAATCAAGTTTTATATCATATTAATATGGTACTTATAAACCTAACTTATTGTAAAATAGAGATGATTTATTTTAACATTGATAAATGAAATCTAACGTCTAGGTTAATTTGTATTTTCCATACATGTTTTATTTAATCTCATAGCATAATCTCATCTCCTTTTAATAATAAGAGAAGCTTTCTATATAGAATATATATTTTTTGGTTGGTTCAATCAAATTTCTAGGATATGATAACTTATAAAAAATGATCTCTTTTCTAATCTCATCAAGCCAATATATTAAATTATGATCTTTATTAAAAACCATGTATTAAGTATTCAATTTAATAGTTTATTAGTACTGAAGATTGTAAATAACTTAAAGTTGATTTTGAGTTTAAATAAAAAGGATTTTACCAATTGATTCAATTAAAAAGTATGTACCTTCAAATGAATATAAAACTTCATAATTATCATGAAAAACTATGGTAGTAATATTACTTGATTAATTATATTGCGCATAACATAATTAAGAACAACTCTATGTAAATAGAACATATTTAAGATATGATGGAATTTCAAAATAGACTTGATATAGAGCTTATTTCAAATTATTAATATAGAAGTATAGATACCCCGTCTCTAGAATCAAAATAATGCTATTTTAACATAATTAAATATTCTCTAAATATGATACTTGTTTAAAGTTTACTAATTGTTCATTTAATATTTCCTTAATTTCTTATTACCAATAAGTATAAACACTCCAATATTTGCAATTATAAAAAGATATAAAGTAATAATTATCATCAAATTTGAAATATTTTCTCTTACAAATTTCATATTAATTTTAATTGATTTTATATTATTATAATAATCTAATTTTATTATCTAAATCAATGCAGTAGATTTTCATATGAAAATTCTCAAAACAAAATATAATAAATTCTGATTTTTAATTGATAAAAAATTCTTAACATTAAGAATTATTCAAATCATTTAGTTCAATTGATATAATAATCTATTCATTTAAATAGTTCAATCTATCATTTTCATAATAATTGTTAACTTTTATACAAGAAATATAATAGATTTCATTCTTTATAAATTTACAAAATAGTTAATCTTCAATATATCTAAAACCAAAATAGTCAATTATTAATGTTGATATTATATGTTCATTTTCAAAAGATGAAATTCTAATGGATTCATTAATGATATTAAAATTAGTGTAATTTTGTTCTTCCAATTCTTCTGTATCACTTTCGATTAATAACTTACCTAAGTTTTATGAAATTAATTTCTCTTAAGGTTCAATCTCTATCACATTACATTTCTTTGACATTCCCCCAATTGAGTATAAAATATCAATAGTTATTAGAAGAAATAATAATAAAGAAGTAGTCATAAATTATGTTTAATAAATTATGTAATTAAATATCAAAGTATTAAAAAAAATTATATTATATGAATTTAATTATATATAGAATCACTTTTAAGTATTAAATTCATTATGTTGTTTATTTCTTTTATTTATTCCTACAACACATAATTCTAAATAAAATTAAAAACAAATTTGTTAATTCAATCAGTATAATATTCTTATTCAAATTATTTAAAGATATTTCATGAGTTACATTGATTTAAATTTAGGTATTAGATAAATCATTTTAAGCATATAAGATAAAGTTAAAATTTATATCATTGATATTTTCTAGATCAATTTCATATTATTATATTATTCCTATATAAATCTATGAATTATTCCTAAAAGTGAAATGAGTAGTATTTATTCTTGTAATTTAAATTTGATGTAATGTAAAATAGTTATGATCATAAAAAGGCCTATCTTCTTATAAATCATATAAAAACGTACCTTAAACTTATTTCAAATTCAAAACCAAATAATTCTCATCTACATAAACAAATTTATAATAATTATCTAATAATTTGTTTCTAATTTCTTTTTACAAATGATAAGAAATAATAAAACCATCTTATATATTGATATTAAGTTTGATCATAAACAAATTCCTCTAATTTTTCAACATAATATTTACAATTATAATATTTACATTCAACTAACATGAAATTATTTATAAAATAAGAGTTTTGCCTTATATAGGTAATGCATTTTCAATTTCTTATGTGATTATCTTAGAGAATATCTTAACATAACCATTAAAATTAATTTAATAAATAGTTAATTCTACTTAAGTTCGATCTACATCTGATAAAGCTATAAACAAATTTTCAGAATTTTAGACATATGAAATATCAAAATGAATATCTGGAATTTAAATAAGAGTAAAATTCTATTTAGATATATATAAATAAATCTATTCTAATGTATTTTATATTTTAAACAAATTTTCACTTTTGATAATGTTAGAACTAAGAGGTATTTCAGCAAAAAAGTTAATGTCTAATATCTAGATTTCCTCACAGTTTCCTTTCATCTGTAGAGAACATTCTAATAATCTAACGCTTAATCTATTTTCAAATAAACCAAACTATATGAAAGAATAATCTGATATCCAAAATACTTGATTTAAATGATCATCATTTTTATTTTATAAAATTTGACATATAGTTTTATCTTCATAAACAATTACAAAAAATGAATACCATATTTTTTATGTTTCAATTTATTAAGAAAATTTTAATTCTTCAATACATATCTACATTTCATTATTACAATAATTAATTTAGTATATAAATTAAAAAGGATTCTTCAAATAAATTTAGAGATTACTAACTATTGTTAAATTATTTATTGGACCCTAAAACATTTCAGAAATCTTTAGATATAAGTTTTCATTTTTATATAGTTTTAAAGAAATTGAATTCTTTAAAGTAAATAATTAATAACATTCATTTTAGAATAAAAGCCTTAAGTCTATGTCCTCATTATTCAATTTTGAACTTGGTTTCAATGGTTATTGAAAATGTATATATAAGTTTTTTTACATACTAATATTAGTTTTGATTAATGCAACTACTTCATTCAAATAAAATTGTCTTATTTATTAATTTTTCAAATATATTAATGTGTTATTTAGTATTTCAAAATAGATATCATCAGTTTCTATAATATCAATTAAATTAATTGATGTATCTGTATAATTGAATAAAGCAATAAAAAAGGATGAATTTTATTCAGTTAAAATAGCAATTCTATTCAAATTGCAAATGTACTTTAGAGGATTTGAGAATTTATATTCTTATAAAGTATAATTATAGAATTAATGTAATTCAAATGTATTAGTATAATAAAGAAGTATTGAATTAGTTTCATTTTATATTACATAAATTTAAAAGAGACCTTTTAGCCAATTCTTTACTGATATGATTAAAAGGTCAGAAAATTAAAAACACTAAACCTCTCCTTTATATTCAAAGGCAAAAAGATTTGGATATTGAATAAATGTATAAGTTCCATAATTTTGATAAAAAAGAATTTATTCTGATTAAATAAGCTATTCAGATAGATATATATTCTAGTATTAAAATGAATTTTTGGTTATTAATATTGGGAATTTTTCATTTTTCACATGAATGATTAATGATTACTAAATTTATTCAGCTTTTATTATTTCAATATTATTATATAATACTATTTAATTTAAATAGCCTAAAATAAATGTAATTACTTTTAATTATTTATTCTACTTATCAATTAAATAATAGTCATCTAGATATTGTAATACTTAATATTGATAAGTATTTATGATCATTTCAATTTTGTTTTATTAACAATTATGGAAATATATGAAATTTTCATTTTGAAAAATTAAATAATTTAATGATTGAATAGATCTTAATTAAGTCTTACTTTTAAATTTATAACTTTTTAGTCTTTAATAACATATGAAATCTGTATTTGCTTCATTCCAAATACTCAAATTAATGTTATTATTATTTACAGTAAATTATTGTTGTAAAATTCTAAAAATATTTTGAATAGGTAATGTTGTTTCCTATTGTAGTTCACAATTTCTATAGATATAGGCCTTTGCCAATTCATGCCTTTATTCGATTGTATTATTTTCATACTATATTCTTATACATGAATTTAATGATTAATTGTTTATCAAATCTAGTTTCATAATGATATATATATATTTTAATTTAGGTTCAATAAAACTACTAATTGGAAAATATCTATAGAATTATACCATAAGTTATGTTTTGTCTATTTGATAAAATAGATTATATTAATCAAAGAAAATTAATGATGAATTTAAAATTTCATATGTTTAAATTAAATGTTAATCTATTCTAATTATTAGTTATGTTTAATTTTAAATAAAGAGATAATTAGAAAATAAATGAATATTGTCTATATCATATGTATAATTTAAGACGATCTAATTTTTTATTTTTTGAAATGGTTACAAATTTGTCTATTTTTAATATATGATTATCATATTACTAGTACACATTTTTCTTAATGGTATTATTTTCAAAATTAAATATTCCCCTTTTAAGAATTCATAAGTAGTTCCAACATGAGGTTCATATTTAATTTGAAGATAATTATATTCTTCAAAAATCAATAATGTTAGAGATCCTAATTAACAAAATTATACATCACTTACATTTTTAAATTATTTAAGGATTGGCTAATAATCTTACATTTATGATTCCAAAATAATTTTTATTTCTTGACTATTAATATCAAATATTTTCCATTTTGAACATTAGATAAATGCTATTATAAATTGATTTTTTCTATCCTTATTATATTATATCTTCTTACATTTATCTTANATATATATTCTAGTATTAAAATGAATTTTTGGTTATTAATATTGGGAATTTTTCATTTTTCACATGAATGATTAATGATTACTAAATTTATTCAGCTTTTATTATTTCAATATTATTATATAATACTATTTAATTTAAATAGCCTAAAATAAATGTAATTACTTTTAATTATTTATTCTACTTATCAATTAAATAATAGTCATCTAGATATTGTAATACTTAATATTGATAAGTATTTATGATCATTTCAATTTTGTTTTATTAACAATTATGGAAATATATGAAATTTTCATTTTGAAAAATTAAATAATTTAATGATTGAATAGATCTTAATTAAGTCTTACTTTTAAATTTATAACTTTTTAGTCTTTAATAACATATGAAATCTGTATTTGCTTCATTCCAAATACTCAAATTAATGTTATTATTATTTACAGTAAATTATTGTTGTAAAATTCTAAAAATATTTTGAATAGGTAATGTTGTTTCCTATTGTAGTTCACAATTTCTATAGATATAGGCCTTTGCCAATTCATGCCTTTATTCGATTGTATTATTTTCATACTATATTCTTATACATGAATTTAATGATTAATTGTTTATCAAATCTAGTTTCATAATGATATATATATATTTTAATTTAGGTTCAATAAAACTACTAATTGGAAAATATCTATAGAATTATACCATAAGTTATGTTTTGTCTATTTGATAAAATAGATTATATTAATCAAAGAAAATTAATGATGAATTTAAAATTTCATATGTTTAAATTAAATGTTAATCTATTCTAATTATTAGTTATGTTTAATTTTAAATAAAGAGATAATTAGAAAATAAATGAATATTGTCTATATCATATGTATAATTTAAGACGATCTAATTTTTTATTTTTTGAAATGGTTACAAATTTGTCTATTTTTAATATATGATTATCATATTACTAGTACACATTTTTCTTAATGGTATTATTTTCAAAATTAAATATTCCCCTTTTAAGAATTCATAAGTAGTTCCAACATGAGGTTCATATTTAATTTGAAGATAATTATATTCTTCAAAAATCAATAATGTTAGAGATCCTAATTAACAAAATTATACATCACTTACATTTTTAAATTATTTAAGGATTGGCTAATAATCTTACATTTATGATTCCAAAATAATTTTTATTTCTTGACTATTAATATCAAATATTTTCCATTTTGAACATTAGATAAATGCTATTATAAATTGATTTTTTCTATCCTTATTATATTATATCTTCTTACATTTATCTTAAATTTAATCAGAAATATTATATTCAAGTAGAAGAATAACATCTCCATTTAGATTTACAGAATATTATATTAAACTGAATTATTTTATGCAAAATAGAATTATTCTTCCATCATCTAATTAATACATTTCATCACATATCTCTTCTGATAAAATATTTGTCTCTATTTTAATACTTTCATGATTGTTTTCAACATAATTTATTAAATCAAAGCTAATACATGTTATATAATATTTGTAATTCTTAATTAATGAACAAATTAGTTAATATTAGATCATACTATATTCTAATTACTTGAACATTTTAATTAAAATAGGCATATCTTTATAAGGAATAGTAAAAGATTTTTATATAATTTCTTTATCAATTTTTTTGAGTTTATAATAATCTTCCTCATCTCCTTCCAATATAAAACAATCTTATATTGTTATTTGACATGATATTTTTGGTCTCATTTACTGTATTTCACAAGGTTTAGATTTTGAGTATATTAGAAGAATATGGAATCCAAAAATTATGAATAAAAATTACATATTCTGATTGTGTTTTGAAAAAATATTTTAAAATAATGTAATATATTATAGAATACTTTCTTAATTTTAATAGTAATCAAAAATAATTATTAATATTTATTAATAAATAATATTTAATATGCCAATTAAGTTTTATATAAATAAAAATTATTATAACACTCTCTTTGATAAATCAATAATCATTTCTAGTTAATAATCAATTTATAGGAATTTAAATAAATAAGTAGTAGATTATTAAAATTTTTAACAACTTGAAATAATGTTACCATATAACTTATTATCAAGAGAATTAAATAATAATATTTATCATTAAATTCATGCAACATAATTGTTTAATGATCAATAAATAATCAATATTGTTATTCTTGTAATGAAAATGATTTTTTGATTTAAATGAATAAACAAATATATAAATAACTATTTCTTTAGAGTGTGTTCTCATGAATTTTAATCCAAAATTTGAAATTAATTTATTTGGAAATTAAACAATAAAATCAAAAATTATATTTGATAAAATTAAGTTTAAACAATCCTTCGAACATTTATATATAAATTTCTTTGGAAGATAAAAGTATATTAAAAAATATATACTTAATTATAAAATAAAGATATTATGAAAAAGTATATATTAAAGGATAATTTGTAAATTTAATATTCAATAATTAATATCTTTAAAAGTAAAATAATGGACAATGCTTAAAACTCTTTGTTAATTCGACCTTAAAATAAGCAAATGCAAGACATTAATATCAAAAATAGTCTATAAAATGAAAAGTATACTCTTTTGTAAACATAATTTAATTACTTGTAAAAATGTCAAGTATTATTTATTCATTAATGGTCTTAGATATTTACAGAAATGTAAGGAGAATGTTTAGAATNTATAATATTTGTAATTCTTAATTAATGAACAAATTAGTTAATATTAGATCATACTATATTCTAATTACTTGAACATTTTAATTAAAATAGGCATATCTTTATAAGGAATAGTAAAAGATTTTTATATAATTTCTTTATCAATTTTTTTGAGTTTATAATAATCTTCCTCATCTCCTTCCAATATAAAACAATCTTATATTGTTATTTGACATGATATTTTTGGTCTCATTTACTGTATTTCACAAGGTTTAGATTTTGAGTATATTAGAAGAATATGGAATCCAAAAATTATGAATAAAAATTACATATTCTGATTGTGTTTTGAAAAAATATTTTAAAATAATGTAATATATTATAGAATACTTTCTTAATTTTAATAGTAATCAAAAATAATTATTAATATTTATTAATAAATAATATTTAATATGCCAATTAAGTTTTATATAAATAAAAATTATTATAACACTCTCTTTGATAAATCAATAATCATTTCTAGTTAATAATCAATTTATAGGAATTTAAATAAATAAGTAGTAGATTATTAAAATTTTTAACAACTTGAAATAATGTTACCATATAACTTATTATCAAGAGAATTAAATAATAATATTTATCATTAAATTCATGCAACATAATTGTTTAATGATCAATAAATAATCAATATTGTTATTCTTGTAATGAAAATGATTTTTTGATTTAAATGAATAAACAAATATATAAATAACTATTTCTTTAGAGTGTGTTCTCATGAATTTTAATCCAAAATTTGAAATTAATTTATTTGGAAATTAAACAATAAAATCAAAAATTATATTTGATAAAATTAAGTTTAAACAATCCTTCGAACATTTATATATAAATTTCTTTGGAAGATAAAAGTATATTAAAAAATATATACTTAATTATAAAATAAAGATATTATGAAAAAGTATATATTAAAGGATAATTTGTAAATTTAATATTCAATAATTAATATCTTTAAAAGTAAAATAATGGACAATGCTTAAAACTCTTTGTTAATTCGACCTTAAAATAAGCAAATGCAAGACATTAATATCAAAAATAGTCTATAAAATGAAAAGTATACTCTTTTGTAAACATAATTTAATTACTTGTAAAAATGTCAAGTATTATTTATTCATTAATGGTCTTAGATATTTACAGAAATGTAAGGAGAATGTTTAGAATTTAGATAGACTAATCAAAAAACATTAAATAAAAGTCCATTAGTTAGATAAAAACATACTAAAGAACAATACGTCAAGTAGTTACCTTCCTTGACTTAGTAAATACATAATAAATTTGTTGTATAAAAACAAAAGGAATTAGTTTAACTTCTTACTATAAGTTTTACTATTCTAGTTTTTATTGTATTGATGTTGGAATACTATTAACAGAAGAAACGAATTGGATTTTATGATTATTGATTGTTTTCAATTTAGTCATTTTTTCACAGTTATATTGTATTCCATCTCATATAACTTTATTATAAATTAGATAATTCTACTCTTTTTTAGCGATTAATGACTTCTTTTCATTTGTACAAATAAATAATTTTTTTTAAAGAAAACTATATATTTCTTCATCATAATTTGAATATATATACAATAATACCTAAAATGATAAGGTTAATACTGATAGAGAAAACTAATAATTGAAACCTAGGAATTTAATTTTTAATTACAATTTAAGGTTTACATTCTCTTATTTTCAAGGGATTTTTTTAATCTCAAAAATGGTGTAACCATAACTCGTAGTAATTTAACCAAATAAAAATTATAAAGAAGATGAAATTAACAGAATCATGTGAATTTATGACTTTGAATTTTATTCCATAATAACATAATTTAATTTCATTTTGATTGAAAATATGAATTTATTTTCTTGTATTATAAATAGACTATTTATTTATATTTATCTATTCATCTTTTCACTATAGGAAATTAAGATATAAGAATAAGGTGTGATATTTTATAAATTATGAATTAAAAATATTGAGGAAGAATATTTTCAAATTAAGAAGAAATATTTATAATAAATGTAATTAAACATATTATTTGTTATTCATTTCTACTTTTTTAATAACTTTTTCATTCTTTATTTTAATCTTATTTACAGATTTATTTTTCTCCTATTTTATATTCATTCCATTTTCCAACTTTTTTTCCATTATAATATTTACCTGAATATACTAGTTAATTTTAGCTAAAATAAATCATTTTATATATTACTCACAAAAAGTATCACTTAAAACAATCCATAATCCATTCTTCAAACCTTAATCATCAAAGCATCCACTTCCACTAACATAAATTATAATATTATTAATATACATTTCTTAGTAATGTTTTTCCCTTCTGCCTCTATATTTTATTGACCATTTTCCTTTCTTTTTACCATTCTAATATACACCCTGATAAATAATTTTGCTATCTCTAAATTAAAATAGAAATAAATAATACTCTCTAAAATTTTCACTTAAAACTATCCATATACCATCTTTCAAACCTACCTCACCATACCAACCACCACCTCTTGTGTTAATTTATAAATATACATTTATTTGTAATTATTTTTCCCCCATCCTTTGTATTTAATTTGCCATCTTCCAAATTTTTTGCCTTCTATATATTCTCCGCTATTTAAGATCTTACAAGCCCTATAGTTGGTAATAAGATAAAGAAATACTGATTGAACTAGTCACTTAATTCTATCCAAACACCATTTTTCTAATCAAATTCTTCATAAAATCCTCCACCACTATGAGTTAATTTATATTTTTATTACATCTATTCATTTTTGTATTGTATTTCCCATTCCCCATATTTTTTGCTTTTCTTATATTTACCCTTGTAAACCACTTAATTTTTTCTATATATATATGTGTGAACATATATATTACTTAGAGTAATTTTCACTTAAATCTAACCATTGATCATTCCTATAACCATCTTTATCATAACAACCACCACCACTATAAAAATTTATATTGCTTTATCATTCATTACATCAAATCAAAATCATTGTCCAAATAATATCTAAACTTTATATCCCATTTCCCTTATTTATGGCCATTTTAATATTCACCTTGATAAATGATTTAATTATAGCTAAATGTTTTAAGAATATTAAGGTACTTTTCAAAATTATCACTCAAATCTAACCATATACCATCTTTCTAACATTCTGCATTATAAAATCCTCCATCACTTAGTTAATAATTATTTCATCATACATTTTTTGAATATCATTATTCCATTCCGTAAAGTAATTCCAAGTCCAATTATTAATCCTTTTTCCATGTTAATAATTTCCCTAAAAAGTAACTATATTATCCGCACTACATATATATATATTAACAAATAATTAATACCCAAATATATCACTTTAATCAATCCATATACCATTTTTCAAACCATCTTCATCGTATAATCCTCCACCACTATAAGTTAATTAATCCAGTTTTTTTTACATTAATATATCAATATTCTTTAAATCCCATATTCCTTATTTTTTCCCATTTTTATATTCCCCATTATAAGTCGATTAATTATCACTATTATTGATAATTATTATGAATACTCGTGAAAATTATTACTTAGATCAACCCATTTTCCTATTTTGCAACCTTGTTCATCATATTGTCCTCCACCACTATAAAGATTAAAATAATTATAAAATTCTAAACATCCATTCTGGCCAAATCAATATCTATTCCTTATAACTAATATCCCATCTACCATATTTTTTCCCATTTTTATATTCTCCATGATACACAACTTAACATTTACTAAATTATGCATAATATAAATAATAACTTCCAAAAATTATCACATATCTCTGCCCATTGACCAATTTTCAATTCTTAATTATCATAAAATCCACCACCACTAAGTTACAACAATATTTTACATTGAATTATTCTAATAAATAGTTTCCCATCTACCTATTTTCCTTCCATTTTAATAATTCCCTTTATAAAATATCTTACTATCCCTAATATATATATATATCAAATACTTTTAAAACTCAGGACTCACATCTAACCACAAACCTTCTTTAAGACCTTGTTCATTATAAACTCCACCAGCACTAAAATGGAATATTGAAATTATTTACATCTTTTAATCACCTTTCTCTTCTCTTTAATTGATGTTCCACATTCCAATTTTCAAATCATTTGAATATGCTCCATTAAAATACACATTTTCATCTCTAAATTATTTAACAATAAATTACTAATTAAAATTAGAATTCAAATCCTCCCATTAACCATTTTTTAAACCTTATTCATTATAATAACCACCACCTCTAAAGATAGTAATTAGAATTAATTTTAATACATCAATTCAAAGTTTTCATTCCTATCCTCCTTAAAGGTTTTCCATTAACCAACTTTTAGACCATTTCTATATTATCCATGATAAGTTATTTAATGAGAACTAATCAGATTATATAACAATAATAATTACTCCCAAAAATCATCATTTAAATCAATCCAATTACCTGTTTTTAAACCTTATTCATCATATTCCCCACCACCACTTAATGATTAATAATTACATACATTTATTGTTCTCTATACACAAATTTCCAAACTCCTTTTCTGTTATCATTAGAGTATTCTCCAATTTCATAAATTTAAGCTTTACTATCCTATAAATTTTTTAATTACTCCCAATAATTCTTGAATAATTCTTTCCATATTCCAAATTTCTTTCCATTTTTGTAAAATCCACCAACATCTATTAAAGCGGCACCTTTCCATAAAGCTCTCCAATATCCAACTTTCTCCAAATCTCCATTATAAGCACCTTGCCATTATAAATGATTGATTTATTCTAAATTGGTTAATATATCTGGAGATTTTTATAAATCTATTAACTTATTTCTATGAAGCAAGATTAATTTAGTTTTTACATTCTAATAATTTATCCATCATTTTTTATGTACTTAATTTCATTAAATTAAGAATATGAGATTGTGAATATAATTTTTACAAATCGTTTATTTTTGAAATCATATTTGTAACCATCATATTGTTTGTTTCCTTAACTCAAATTATAAGGCTCTAAACAAACCTTTTTCAATGTCTCTTAAGTTTATGCTAAATAGACATTCATTATTTTTTAGAATTAATTATGATTATTTTCAACAATATTAAATTACTAATTCTAATTTATAGTAATATTATTATTTTAGAAAATGTTAATAAGATTATAATTAATTTGAGAATTTAGAATATATATAAAATATATTATAGAAATTCTAATATAATTATGTTAACAAGTACATCTTAGTTAAATTATCTGTTAAAATTCATTTCACTGTTTTCTTTTTGTTTAATTTTCATTTGATATAAATTAAATCAAATTAACAATCTTCAAATGCTAATTCATTATTATTCTAAAATATTATAAATCAATATTTTAATGGCTCTTCAATAAATTTCTTTTGAGTAGAAATACAATTATGTAATCAAGTTATGGTATTTTTGGTAAGAAAATTGAAATTTTTAAATACTTTTTAAAGATACTATTTTAATAAATGTATAAATAATATTATATATGTAATAAAAGTGAAATAATAATATTATTTGAATAAGAATTTATTATTTAACTTAAACTCAAACTTCTTCTAATTTTCTAATAGTGATTAAATCAGTATTATCATCCCATGTAAATAAAAAGTCCCCATCATCACTTACTGCTCCATAAATATTATAAGTATTAAAATCTATAATTTAAACTTACACAATATCAGTTAAGTCTTTAATTTAAAAAATATAAATCAGGTTTCCCATTTTATTGATTAATAATGATTTATTCTTAATAAATATCTAAGGAAATAAGCAATCCATATAACACTTTTTCACATTGACTTCATTTATTTTATTGTATAATAAATTTTCTTGATTACTTTAATATATTTCTAATTTCTCAATAAAAAATGGTTAATAAGTAAATGCATTATCCTAAATAAAACTTAATCTATATCCATAAGATTAAACTTGAATTTCTTGAGATATGAACCATAATTGATTAATATTTGATTTTTACATTACAACAATTTTATGTTATTTTCCACATGATATTAATTAATTTTCAGATTAATTTAAACTTATTCCGAGAACTCCATCTAAATTACAATCAATAGTTTATATACAATTTATTAATTATGTTGAATTCCAAAATTTAATCTTACCATCAATACTACTGGATATTAAAAGTTATTCATCTTTATTTATAATTAATTGAGTAATAAATCCTTTATGCTCTTTTGATTTTATTAAATATCTACAATTATTGATTCCATTTTTTTGAAAAATCTTAATTGTTCCATTAGAATTTCCAATCAAAACTTAATTTGATTAAACTTTCTATGAAATAGAACTTACAATATAAGTTTCTTCAATTAGAGATACTAATAATTTTGGATTATCACAAAATTAAAATATTAAAGTCTTATATGAACATCCTGCAATAAGTAATGTTTTGATTTAATTCATTGAAATAGAGCAACACCAAGATTCTAAAATTTATATATTTGTATATAGTTTATAATTAAGAGTTTGTACTTTCGAAGTTTCAAGTTGATTTTGTAAATTAGATGTCATTAAATATATTTAATTAATAATTTTATATTATATATATTAATAATAAAATAATAGATTTTATGTGTATATTATATAATAAAATTGTTGATAATTTGATAAATTTATTTAAATATTCAACTAAAACGTCCAATTAATCCATAAAATCCACCAATAATTCCAAATAAAACTACTGCAGTGTTCAGGATTCGATAAAGAGGTTCAACAATAAATCTAAAGGTCATATAATAAGGAATAATATAACCAGAGTTACACAACATATACAACCAATAATAGATAAAACAATAGCAAAGTTTGGATAAATAAATGCGATTAGCTAATGTAAAATTAATATAATTTACCATTTAACAGAGAACATATATAATTTTGAATTTAATTTATTCTTTGTTATTAGGAATTTAATTAATAATTAGATAATATGGCATATTATTAGAATTGATACATAAGTAATCATTAAAATTGATAAAATAATTTCTATTGATAATTATGTTTAAATTCTTCTTAAAAGTTTGTAATAATAGATTATTTAGTATTAGATTAAAATAATAATGAATTAGTTATACCAAAGATTTAGATTAATACAGTTTCAAATGCCATAGCTTAAAAGAGACATCTTTAAAATTATGTTGTATCCTCCATTTCTATTCTAATTTCTGTTAAAAAACTATTCATATCATAAGCAAATATCATTATAATCATTACTTTTTCAGTATTAGATTCTGTTAATTACCATTTCTAAAACTCAGAAATAGCCAATATTGATAAATAAGTAAAAGATATATATACTAAAAGAAGTACTTAATTTAAAATAGGCACAAAAATTTGAAGATCTCGAGCAAATGAAAACCCAAATAGAATAATAAACAAAAACAAAAGTATCACAATTTACATAATAAACTATTATCAAAATATGATCCAATTAAAATTTAAAATAAAATAACATAACATAAACCACATCCAAAATTTAATAGGATAGAAAATATTTTGCCTATTAAGAAGATCCAACTATTTTCACCATAACTTTCAGAAAGATATTAAATTAATGTTGATCTTCTAGTTTCTCCTAAAAAATTAACCATAGTACACCATGAAATAAATTATGTTGCAATTACTAACAATTATAAAATAAAACCCCAAATAATCCTGCTTAAGTATAAGGAATTGCAAATATTTCTAATCCTATTGTTACTTTTATCAATTTTATGGTTGTTTAAAAATTTGTTGATCTTGAAAATGATTTCTCTGTTGTAATCATCAATGTGTTCATATTATTTTTATAAAATAAATAATTACTATGTTCTTCAAAAATCATTCTCAACTTTATAAAATTACCTTATGATAACTATTTTAATCATAATTATTATTCTGAATAACTTTTATCAATTATATACATCCACATTTACTTTAGATAATTGCATGCAAAAAATACCTTAAGAAAATTGAAATATTAATTAAATAACTAATTATCTAAATGATAATAGGATTTATAAAAATTGAAGCAATTAAATTTAATACATTAATTCTACTATTATTTTATTTTTTCTTGAGGTTCAAAAGTAGATTAATTATTTTATTTTTTATATTAATCAATTACATTTAGATTATTTATTTATACTTATACTAATATAGCATTAATATCTGATCAATAAATTATTCAAAATCATTAATGTATTCTTGTTATCTACCAATATCTAAATGAGTACATAATTAGTGATATTGAAAGAATGTGTGAATAAAAATTTAAAATTTTATAGTTAATTTTTACAAAATTGTATGAATAATTATATTCTTTTATTGATATCAATTTATCACTAGATCATAATTATGAATTATCTAATTATATTCTATCATGTCTTTAATTATTTATTGATTTGTTCTTTAGTTGCATTCTTCTTATAAGGAAATAAAAAACTAAAATTAACAAAACTATTAATAACAATAGTATTATGAAAATTCTATAGTTTTAAATTTGATTTTTTGTTTCTATAATTAATTATAAATATATACCTAGTCTATTGAGTGATATTTTTACTTCTTTTTATGATATCATATTTGAAGCAACCAATTTAAAAGTATCATTTTATAAATATTCCTCATTTATTATAATTTCATAGCCAATCTTTCCAATATATATATTTTTATTATTATTTGAAAAACAAATGAAGTGAGTAGTATTGAATTGATGATAAGCTTAATACAATTTATTTTGTTTACCAATATAATCATGTAGTATTTAATCTTTTCTTAAATCATAAAAGTAAGTAGCACCAGAAAATAATTTTAAAATTAAAGAGTATTCATTATAAAATTTTAATTCCATAATATCTTTTTGTAAACTGTTTCTTAAAATTTTAATTGGTTTATATGAAATTAAAAAATTTTACAATATAATAATAATTTAACTTATAACTAAATGATCATCAAAGATTTACAAAATGGTTATACTTAACTTTTCATCATCAATAATACTCTCTAAAAAAATAATTTAGGTATCCTCAAATCTAATTTTTCTTGAATTAATTAGAATATGTTCTTTTATTTCATTTTCAATAGTATTCCAAGTAAGTTATGCTGTTCCAATTATATCAAATTAAAAATCATTTAACAAGAGAATTTAAAAAAATACCATTTATGTTGTAGTTTAAAAAGAGAGAGATATGTATAATTAATTATTGCCTTTAATTTTAAGAATTTCAACAATACTAAAATATAAATTAATAAAAGTAAGTCTATCCTAATATATTAAATAAATGAATAACTTAGTTTTATTTTTTATTACAATTATATCTCCTGTTTTAAAATTTTGAAATTTATTTTGAGAGTGATTGAAATCTTATCTTATCTAAAATATAGGTTTCTCTTATAATATCAAAGTTCTTTTATCAATCTTATGAATAATTCCTCTTATTCCATTCTGAAATTCTTTGATAAATAACAATAGTACTGTATCGTCATTCAATAAAATTATATTTGTTAAAATATCATTTTCTAATATAAGTTATGTATCCATTTAATTAAATAATATCATAGAGTAATTATTAAATTTCAACAATATTATTCTAGTTTGTAAAATTATTTAGAAAGTTGAACTTATATTAATTTCCTGTATCTATATTCCATAAGGATTTAAATCTTCAAGAATTTCTTCAGATAGTAATAGTGGTCCTTCGATAATAATATTATCATTATCAATAATCTAGAGATTATCAATAGGACCATAAAAATAATTATTAATTAGTAATTAAGATTTTTATTATTAAGTATAGTTTAATATAGCATGATTGCTTTTTATAAATAATTCATAGCAACTATTATAGCATCTTAATGAGAACTCTAAATCTATCTTAGGATCATTCTTACTTATTGGGATTATTGAAAAATCAATTGTTTGTATATTAATATTATCCACTTATACTGGATATGGATTTTCTATTTAAATCTCAAAGTCTTCGATATTAAATCTCTTAACTTCTTCTTCTTAATCATAATATAACAGATACTATTTTTGGAAAAAAAATTAGACTTTTCCAATTTGAATACATTTTACTAATTTAATTGGTAATTTATTTGATATAGTATATAATAAAATAAAGGTTTTTGTAGCATTTCGAACAGCTATGGCAAAGTAATTATCTTTTATTTAGTAATATATTGGTCTAATAATTTCATATTGATTCAAATTGTGGGTATTTAAAATTGATATTTATGTTAAATCATAAATTTATTCAATTATTTAATTATTAATCAAATGTACTCCCAATATATAATATTATTCAAATACTATTGGTTTAAGTAAGACAATTAGAATAGAATCTATTTTAATCATTCTAATTTATGAGTTAATCTATACTATCAAATATTGAAAATATTAAACAAATTCAAATGGAACTTATGAGTAATAAAAAGCCTATCTTAGTTAATTATTTTATTATTTTTAGAGATACATTTCATTTAAATTGTCCAAGATTCTTTAAATTTTTGAGTCCATTATGATTATATTTGGCAATGTTAAATCAATCAATATAAACTCTTAATTATTTTTGGTGAATACTATAATAAATTAATTACATTAATCAATTTTAATAATTTCATTATCTAATCTAATCACATTAGTTGTTGGTTGGATTTCTTGAAATTTTGTAAATTTTAAAATCTTTTTACCAATTTACAATAAAAGAATCGAACTTTAATAGTAATATACTTAATATGATTAGGTATTGATTCTAAATTATATTTATCCATCGCAATTTTATTAATAAATATACTTATCAGTTTTGATTAAAGAAAAGGATTATTATTTATGGAATCCATAATATAATAAAGTTTATTATTATTCTGGGAATTTTTTGAATCCTTAACAAATTTATTAAAAGGGTTATGAATCAAAAATATTTATTTTGAAATTTAAATTAATAGGTTGTTATATTTGATACTCATGTGTTAAATTCAAATCTTTTTTGCTATAAAATAATTAAGAATTATTTTAACATATATTATTAAAATAAAAAAAAGTAATTGGTTCAAATTATTACTATAATATGTAATTAATCTCATAGCATGAGAAATTAAACATAATTGTTAATGATTGACTAAAAAATACAAAAATATACTTTTTAGTAGGTTTGATGAAATTTTTAAGAAATGATGATTGATAATATATGATTTCATTAGTAAATTCATCAAAATAATATATCAAATTAAATTGATGATCAAAATTTATTTTAGAACTATTAATTTAAATAATTTATTGAAATTCTTAGTTATATATAATTTATAGTTGGTTATTAAATTAAACAAAAAGGATATTTTAAAACAAATTTCCATATATAGAAGTACCATTAAATTCTTATTCATAATGATTATTTTTGATTCGAGTTTTATTAGTTGAAATATAATACTAAACTTAATAAATAATTGAACAACTCTATGAAAGTATAATTTACTTTAGATTTAAATAATTAGAAATTTGTACTTAAAATTGTAGTTAGCCTTGATATGTAAGATCAAAATGACAATAAGCATTATCCTTAATTAAATATAATGATCTTTAACATATTTCAATATTTTCAAGATAATTAATATACAAAGAGTAATTGTTATATGCTATCTATTCATTTAAAATCATATTAATTTGTTTATTATAAAATGATACTACTCCCCAATTTTAGCATTAAAATAATACTATTAAATAATGATTATCATCAATTTTAAAATATTTTCTTTTACATAATGCACTTTCTTTCTATTCAATTAGAAATTGTACAATCTATGTTGTTTTTTTGTCAAAATCTCTTATGAATATTTTCAATTAATAACTTTAAAAGCAAAATATAAGAAATTCAGAATATTAATTGAAGAAAAATTCTTCACATGTTTCATCATCTTTAATTTTTAAATCTATTTAGATTTCCTTTTATTCTTTAATATTTCTAGTGTTATTCTCCTTATTATCCAATAATTTTATACAAGAAATAAAATAATATTTAGATTTTAAGAGCTGACAAGTCAACTTATCGAAATCTGATAACAAACAATATGATTAAATTATGTTTATTGAAATAATTTGCTCTTTTTCCCAATTATTTATTCTAAATACTTCACTTACAATAGTATGTTGATTATAATTTATACCTATTGAATCCTATTCATCATTTTCGATTAATATTTGATTCTATTTTCTTGGAAAATATATCTCATTAGGTTCTATTCTTATTTTTTCACATATTCTTTATTACTCACATAATATAAGTTTGAAAAAAGGAATTGTGATTAGAATGAATTGATATAAATATATCATAAGTTGATAAATTATAATATCATTTTTACCAATATTATTCTAAAATGTTAAATTATACTTAAAATTAGAGATGTGAACGCATTTCCTTGCAATTTTTTGGTTAATCAATATATTTATCAATAGATATATAACTATTATAGTTAATAGAAATTTAAACTAATTGATCAAAATTTTTAATTATTTATATATTAAACAATGCAAGAATTCAAATGTCCATTTAAAGCTCATTAAGATGAACCGATTAAAGGGTTTTGCATTAATATAAAATGTCTATAGAATACATCTTTTTGTCTTAAGTGTTTATAAAAAAAACACATAAATCATTAAGATGATTTGTTTAGCATTCAATCTTTTAAGTAATTTAATAAATGAACATATTAAAACACATAATAAATTAATTAATTAGTAGATTGAACTGGACCTTTTAATGAAATAATATTAAAAAAAAATGGAATAATATATTAAAATATTAGAATAGATGGATTAACAAATAAATAATCAATCATATTAAAGTGTTTAAGAATAAATTTCTTTTATTAAATATTTAAAATGGTCGGAAACTTAAAATAAACAGAGTAATAATATAATATATTTTAAGGATTATTGATACGAGAATTGAATAATAGTATTCAAACATTAAAAGAATTAACAAAAGAAGAATCATATTTATAAGAAAAACAAATCAATACTGCAAAATATAAATAATAAATAGTATCATAAAGTGAAAAGAAATAAATCGAATATAATTAAAAAGACTAAAAATTATTACAAAAAGATTTAAAAAAAAGGTAAGAAATTTCAGGCAGATAATTACTCAATATCTAAAAATCATCTGAAGCATCATATCTCTAAATAGATTCTTTAAAATAAGATATTAGTTCAGATAAGTAATTCCTTTAATAGTAAGAAAAAATCTTTTTCAATATCTTAACAATAGGAAATTCTTTATACAATTTAAATTTGTTTTAGGAAGCAATTGATTGCTATGATTAAGTTTTAAATATCAATCCAAACCATTATAATGCACTTAATCTTAAAGGTAAATTGGTTCTTGGCTATTAATATAATCTAGGTAATACTCTACACAATTTAAATCGTTATTAAGAAGCCATTGAGTGCTATGATAAATCTATTAAAGTCAATCCTGATCTTTTTGATGCATTTTATAATAAGGGTAACTGAATTTATATATAGAAAATATTATAGGTTTATCTTTATAAAACTAGAATCATTATTAGGAAGCTATTGAATTCTATGATAAAGCTTTATTGATTAATTCTAATGATTTTGATGCCTTCAAAAATAAAGGTAATAAAGCTATTTTCTAATAATTTAATAGGCTTGATACTACATACTTTAAATTGTTATAAGGAAGCTATCTAATGCTATAATTAGGCTTTATTCATCTAACCAAATGATTATGATACACTTAAACATAAGGGTAATGAGTTCTTTTATGCAACTTTACTTTAGGCTTATCACTATATGATCTAAATCAATATTAAGAAGCTATTGAAAATTAAGATAAAGTTTTAAATATAGATCCTAATGATTGTGATGCACTCTATATTAAGGGTAATGAGTCTTTAAAAATTTATTTAACTTAGGATTATGTTTAAACAATCTCAATCGTTATAAGGAAGCTATAGATTGCTATGATAAAGCCTTATAGTTCAATCCTAATGACTTTAATTTACTTATTAATAAAGGCATAAATTATATATATAATGTAGGTAATTCATTACACTATTTGGGATTTTATTAAGAAGCTATTGGTTATTATGATAAAGCTTCTTAGATCAATCCAAATGATTGCATAGCACTTAATTAAAAGGGTAAAGTAATTAATAAATTTTTAGGTTTATCATTACACTATTTGAATCATTATTAGGAAGCCATTGATTGTTATGATAAAATCATAAAGATCAATCCTACAGATTATGATGCCCTAAAAAATAAGGGTAAGTTAGTTATTTACTATATATTAAATTTAGGCAATTTATTACACGATTTGGGATATCATAAAGAAGCTATTAGTTGTTATGATTAAGCCTTATAGATTAGTCCATAAGATTGTGAGGTGCTTAATTTTAAGGGTAAAGGAGCTTTTAAATATATAATTATATAGGTTTATCATTACACTATTTGAATCATAATTAGGAAGCTAGAGATTGTTATGACAGAATTTTAAATAAAAATCCAAATGATTGTAATGCCCTGAAAAATAAGGGTAAATGAGTTTTTAATTTTATCTGTGATTTAGGCAATTCTTTACAAGAATTGGGATGTTTTTAGGAAGCGATCGATTGTTATGATAAAGCCTTGTAGATCAATCCAAATGATTGTGATACACTTAATCTTAAGGGTATTGAGTTCTTAAATTTATTTTTAATTTAGGCCTATCATTATATGATTAAAAACGTTTTTAGGAGGCTATTGATTGCTATGATAGAACTTTAATGATTAATTCAAAAGATTTGGAAGCTGTTAATCTTAAGGGTAATGAGTTCTTGAATTTATCATATTTTAGGCCAATCATTACATTATTTGAATAGTTGTGAGTAAGCAATTAAGTTTTATGATTTTACTTTAAGGAATAATCCAAATCCTAATTACATGAAATATAAAGGTATTTTGACTCTAATTTTTTCTTAGCTGATGCACTATTAAAGATTGGAAAAAAAGAAGAATCAAAGGAGTAGTACATAAAAGCCTTAAATGCTGGATATGATAAAGATGTAATCGAAAATATAATGAAAATATTTAAATGAAATATAATTATCATATATGAAAATTTTTTGGTTTATTAAATTTCTAATAGATTTGTTAAAATGTAATATAATGATATTAAATGATATAATATACAAGAAATTCAATAGAATAAATATAAAGTAAATTTATAATTATTTTAAATTATAATTCAGTTAAATGATAATTGAAATATTTCATATGTTGTAATTTTGTGTGCATCTAAACCAAACAAATTGATTTCAAAATCAGTTTAAGTTTAATTTCCTTCAATTGCATAAGAAGTTCCAAGTGATGAACTTCCATTTTAAAAATTAGATGTGATATGTAAATCACTTTTATTTTAGAAATATTAAATAGCTCTATTTAATAAGGATGTTCCTCCAAACACAGGTCCATTTTAAAAACAACAATAAATTGCATATCCCCTACAATCTTATTTAATAGGATAAATTTAATTTTTTGTTTGTGAAAATAGGAACGATGTAAGTGTTTCATCTGAAACATATTGTCCTCTTTAACTTTTCACCCATTAACATGGACTATAAGCTCCAAATATATATTCTTTTTCTGATTAAAAAACCATCAATAAGTTGTCTTTTCCATCAACTTTATTCCAAAATGTTTGAACATTTAGATTACTCTAACATTCCTAATGGATTAATTCTATTTTTGTAATTGGTTTATTTGATTTCTTAACAATTATATCAATTAATTTGGCTTGGAATTCTCTTGCTAATAAAAAGGTATTTTCAATAGTTCCAGGGAATTTAGGATTTATCATAATATTAAAAGAGGTGTGCATCTCATTTATTTATTTATATAATTAATTTAATTTATTCCATTCTGGATAATTTATTCTTGATTCCCTTGTTTATTAATTTTTATAATTGAGAATTGTGAATATTTAGTTGTTTAAGCTCAACTATTTTTTTAAAATAGAATCCTAAAAGTAATTATAAACATCTCTTTCACTTTACTTGATGTCTTATGGATTAATTGTTTTTTCTAAATGATTTAAGTTAGAAATAATTTTTTTAAATTAATCGAATTTGATTATCTAATTATAATTAATATAATTACTTCTTCTAATTTTTCTCGAATTTATAATCTAAGTTCCATGTATTTTTTTTTATAAACATATAATTCTTATTGCATAACAATTAGTTAGTTTTGCACTTCTTTTATAAATTTTTCAATTTCCATTATTTAATAGTTTAAATTTTTTTCTTCACATTCAATCAATTCAATAAAGAACTCTTGGAGTATTTCCGAATTGGTAATTCTAGAAAACAAATATTCTGGATGTTAATAAGCCTAATAACAATATAAAAAGAAATATCTACTTTCCTGATGTTAATTAAATTTTACAATTAAACCTATTATTGCCTAGTTGATAGATTTGAATGGCATTGATCACAAATAAATTCAACCTCATTCTCTTTTGGCAATATATAGAGGAATTGAGAATCCTTATGTTTTGGACACTGAACTTGCATTTATAATATAATATTTTAATTTATGTTAATTAATCAATTATTATTTAAAGAACTTTTGAGTATCATATAAGTGGATTTAAATATAAAAATATACAATATTTAAAATATAAAAGAATTTATTTCATAATGAAATTCATTTTATCATTTTAAAATGAGATATATTAATTTTTTTTTTATAAAACTAAAATTATGTATTACTAAGAGATTAATTAGTTTTAAAGGATATAATAGGTCAAATTTAGATGATTAAAATAATTTTTATTGAGCAGAATAAAGTTCCTAGTAGTATTTGAAGTTGTAAATATAAACTTGCCAATAAGAAATTGCAATGATAAAAATAAATGATGAATTTTTATTAATAATTGATCATATATTTAGATATATTCAAACTTTATGATGGAATCATATTTCTAAGATAACATTTTGAAAAATAGAGAGTCAGCTTTTAAGTCATTTAGCATTATTTCTTTAATTGAAATTATTTGAATACATCTTTTTAACAAATTAATGAAGAAAGAAAAAAATACTACTAAGAATGAAGTTATCAATTTTATAAAACAAATTTTTTAGCATTAATATGTATACAACATATGTATTTAAAAAAAAAAAAATTTCTTGATAAATGTTTTAATAAAAAAAACCTCATCTTCAACCCATCAAAATATTTAATTGTATGATTTGAAATAATTGCGGATTTAAATCGAAAATTACAAAATTAAGAATAAAGATGACAGAAAAGTACTCAGAAAAAATATATGTAAAATAAAATAAGACAATATAATAAGTAAATGATATAATAGGGAAAATATAAATAAAGATGAAGTAGTTTAAATAGAGTCTTCCTTTCAAGAGAAAAAAGTTATTGTATTAAAAACAGAATGATTTTAATTAGCAAATTTATTGTTTCAAGTATATTTAGCATTGATTTACAGTGATTATTAATAAAATCTTGGTTATAAAATAAAAATTCCTGACATTTCAAGCTTTATGTTTTGTAAACTATACTCTTTAATTCTAATTCTCTAATTTATGTGCACACCAAGCATGTGAATTACTTGAGACTATAAATTCAAATATTGCATGATTTTTTACATTATATTTTTTTGTAAATTTTCTAAATTAATTTGTTATTTATTTTTTCTGCCTATGCCTGTAAAGATTCGATATATTTTTGTTTTCAACCGATAGAAAATTGTGAAATTTTCTTTTAAACATAGACTGAACAAGAATTAAATTAAATTAAACTTATTGGCAAAAAGATTTAAATGATAATTTTCAGTTTTATTATGAATTTTTCATAAACTGTACTTGAAAATTAAAAATAATTAAAGATTTTTAATTATATTTAAAAAATGAAAAAAGAATTTCTGCTTTGTATGTATAAAACAATAAAATTACTTTTCTTCCAATATAATAAGTGTTTTTAAACCTTTCAGATTAATTGGAAAATATAAAGAGGAATAATGTATTTAAATATGATAATAAAATTATATTAAAATATTATAATTTTATTGAAAAATAATTATAAATTATTCATTTTATTATAAATTCATATGTTGTAATTGATTTAGAAACATTGGAAAATGTCTTTTCTTAAATTACCTTTATAATCAAATTCAATAGTGAGTATCAAAAACAAAATATTTTAGTTTTCTAAAATTTCAATATAAAGAAGAATTAATTATGGAATGAAGAACTATTTTCATTAAGTATGAAATTAAATAGGGTTAAGTAATCTTTATTTGCATTTAGTCTAATAGTAGGAACTATTAACATTTCGTAATTTTGATGATACTTCTAATCTTAAATTAATATTTATTAGAATTTAAGAGTAAATAATTATTTTCTTTATACTTAATAAATAACCAAAACACTTTTGTAAATAATAGTAGAAGTAATATTTGATATCTAGAATTTGAGATCAAAAATATTAGTAAATGAGAAAATTGATAAAGTAATATTTTGAAATAAATCTTACTTAATTAATGTTAATTACATTCAATGTATTTGTATAATTCGATGCATATTCATAAATTAATTTTTATAATTTCACAACTTTATTTTTGTATTTTTCATTCTTTTTTATTTTTATACAGAACAAAATTCAGAACTAGAATAAGTTGCTTATCTATTAATTAAATTATGTTTTATAATTTTATGTTGGTAAAAAATATCAATAAAAAAAAGAAAGAAATCATAATTAAATAGGAAGTGACTATTGATTAATTTTAATATTTTATATAAGTCTGAATTAAGTTAAAATATATTAAAAGAAATTTATCATTTTAAAGATTATCAATCTCCTAATTGATAACTTAGGATTTAGTAACTAAGATTTTGTATAACATAAATATACAACATATATAAAAAATGTCATTTGCCTCATCTAATAAAGAGTTTAAGATAATAATTATATTCTAAAAATTAAATTAATGTCTAAATAAAAGCAATCAAATTCATAGATATACAATTTTGAGCCAATCGGGTGTTAAATTAAAAGGAAATAATAATGTCAAGCTTTTGCCTTTAATACTACAAATACACTCTTATTTGTAGGATTTTAGAATTCATTAGAAATTTATTCTTTTAGTGATGGAACATTAAAATATTTGAGATAATTTAAAAAACATAAGGAAAAAATAAGCAGTTTAAATTATTTAAAAAGAAGTTAAAATATCATTTCAAGTTCCTTTGATAATAGTATTATTGTGTGGTCTAAAAATTTATTATCAAGTTCAAAGTACATATAAAAATTAAGTTAACATAATGAAGAAATATTATGTTTAGTAATTGAGCCTATTTAAGAAAATTGGATAGTGAGTGGCAGTCATGATGAAACTATCAAATTTTGGATTTAGAAGAAATCTTAATGGATTGTTTAAAAAAGTATTGAAGGTAATTATTCTCCAATTTGGTCTTTATCTATGCTTGAATCTGGTGTTAAATTGATATCATTAAGTTCTAATTATATTATGGTATTTAAATATTGTAATTCTAAATGGATTTTGGATTAAAAAATAGAACATTAAACTTTTGGTTTAAGAGTGTGCTTTATCAATAATGAAACATTTATTTTTCAACCTGAATATTAAAATTTTTTTTATATTTATACACTTAATAAAAAAGGAGAATATATTACTAAAACTAAAAACCCTTCTGATGAAGAGGCTGAACCAGATGATAACTTATTTCCTGCATTATATAACAATAATAAGAGTATTGTATTACTTAAAAATATGAACGATGTTTCAATATTCAAAGTTTAAAGAAATTAAAGTAATTTCTTATATAATGCATAGATAAAAAAGTTATGGATTTTAAAATAAATTAAATTATCAAATTTTAAGTTACTTCTGTATATGGAACACTAAGTGATGATGGTGAATATCTGATTACTTGGGATGACCATTCAAAATTGATCTAAGTGAGAAAATGGATAAAAAAAAAATGATTTATTTTATGTTACAATTAGTAAATGTTTATTAATATTTAAAAAAAGCTTTATTCTATCATTTGAATATCATTACACCATATAGCCATTTAGAATACTTGAATAATATTTGAAATTTAATATATTGTTGAGAATAACCATTTTTTCACATTTAAATATTGTTATTGAATTATTTTTCAATTAAATATGACCTAATTTATTAAAAATACATTCTTTTTTAAGATTCTATATAAATATATAAATAATATATTTAAATTTCATTTTTTTTTGTTTGTCTAATTCTTTTAAGAATCCTTAACAGCATTCTAAATCACTTCTTATTGTTTCTTACATTTTTAGCCTTCAGTATTATTTCCTTTAGAATCTTATTGATTCGTACCATTCATACCGGTAACCATTCTTTCACAATTCATTTAAATTAAATAATAATAAATTTAAAGAATATCAAATTTATCATATTTTTTTATATAGAATACCACTATATATTATTATTCAATTAATTATGATTAATTTTAGGATAATTTCTTATTTCAAAAGACATTCACATATATGAAATGTTGAAAACTGAGTATATTTTGATTATATAAAATGATACAAAATATTTAGAAATAGTATATTTAATAATTTAAAATATAACATTTAGAAGTAGATTCTTTTTTTAATTACTTATTCATAATTTATTTGGTTAATAAATATGGGAAATAAATCATTGAATTCTTCTTTAGATAAATTAAAGAAAAAATCAATTTTGTTATAGTAAAATTATTTATATCTATATTTCAATTATGGTATCAATCAAAAATCTATAATGGTAAGGTTAATATGAAAAAATGAAAATAAGATTGCAAATTGGATTGCAAATTGAAAATTGAAAAATTAAACTTTCGAAGTTGTTAATAGATTGTAAAACATAATATTATAAAAATTACTATATTCTAAAAAAGGAAAAGAATCAGGGCTGTAGACTAAACTAATCAATAATTATTGGAGGTACAGTTAATTATAATATTAATTAATAGTAAAGCAGATATATTATATATTTGGAGAATATTCTAATGATTAAAGATTAGGACTTCGAAAATATATTAATTAAGATAAAGGGATGTATAAATTAAAGATCTCTTATTGATGGGGGTTTGTATTAATAAGGATTAAATTTTAAAATGAGAACTTTTGGAAGTATTTATTATTATAAATTAATTTGTAAAAAATAAATCATTTTTAACGGTATATATAAATAGTAATAAGATTGGTTGTGGAATATCTTATATAAAAATAAAGACAAGTATAATAAAATTATGTATTATAATTCTTATTTATTTTTTGTGGTGGAGTATAATGATAATGGCTAAATTGGTAAATCGATAGATTTGAGTAATGTCTTCTGGAAGTAATAAATATCTTATTTTCATTAATTTGTAAAAGAGAAATTATTTATTATTTTTTTTATAAGTATGGTTAAAAAATTGGTAAAAGGGATATGAATTCTAGATGTAATTACAATTAGCCATTTGAGAAGTATAACTATGCAATAGATTTATTAGTGGTTGTGGTTTATAAAACGAGTAAGAAGGATTTAAATAAGGGTAATTGATAGAATTAAGTTATAGTTTTTATAGGTATTGAATTATTTCATTATTTAGTGATTGCTAAATTTATTTTAAGGAAGAATATAAAAAGGATAAAAAGATTTCTAGATGGAATATTTTATATAAATGTAATTATCCATCATTTTAATCGATGTAATATTGATATTTTAAAATCAGTGGTGATGGTACTTGTGATCAAAACGGATTGAAAAATGGAATATTAGTAGAATTGAGTATTAATTTTTGGAAGTAGCATAATTAATATCCTTTTTTATTTAAGAAATGGGAGATTATATATACTGGGGAATATAAAAGAGGTATTAAATAGGTAGATGGGATATAATTTATAGTAGTTTCTAAATTTATTGATATTATTCTTTAATTAGTGGTGTGGTCATCACATCTTTAGATATTAGTCTCAACGAGGTCTGTGGAGGGTTGTTCAAGTTACGAATCCTTAAATCTCACCCTTTTTTCCAATTCCTCTTGAATACCCTGTATTTCATAGTCATCACTTGCCTCATGCTATTGAAAGACCCAGTTGATAGATGGGGTTGGAGAAAGCAGCTTCTCGGATGACTCCAATTATGAAATCATCAAGAATATTAAATTTTTTTTAATAAAATCATTCAACTACAATAATTTAATAGATATTTAAATAATAATAGATTATTATAAAGTTTATATAAGAATATTAATTGAATAATTATAAATACATTTCATTACATACACACACATTCTTCCCTTAAGTAACTTGCCTTAACTAGGTATCTGAGAGTTGTCCTTGTTACTAGACCTTAAATCTTTGTCTCTTTCTTTCTTTCTTTCTTTCTTTCTTTCTAATTTCCTTAAATGTCATGGTCAACATTCCCCTCAGGTTGTTGTAGAGCACTATCAACAAATCCTGAGGTCAGACAAGACAGCTTCTCAGATTCCCCTAATTATGACATCATCAGAAATAAAGGTTAATTTATTTTATTTTTTTCATTTCTCATTTTAATATTCATCATAATAAATTATTATAAGAATTATGAAACAAAACCAAAATTTTAAAAGTCTTTAGGAATTAATAAATGAATTAGTAAAGTCTTTTGATATTGTCACAAAGTAAAAAGATACCAGACAAGTAGTTGGCCTGGAATTTTTAAATGATTAATCATAATTCATCTTGTTTTTATCAACTAATATAATTGATAGGATGAAGAAAAGAACAGGGTTATGGCGAAGTTAAGTAAAAGAATAAATTAAGAAATAAAAAAGAACAATAAACAACATCCTTAATTCAAAAATAATACAAAATAGTTTAGATGTCTAACTATAGAATTTTAATGATAATCTCAAATATGATAAAGAATAATCAACAATTAATAATGAGAGTAATCATAATAATGAACATGTTATGGATGTTAAAAATAACTAAATTGATCCAAGTAAGAAATATCCTAATAAATCTGATTTATAATTATGTTGGAATTGGCCATAACATGAAAAATATACAAAATAATTAGAAATACATAATTAAATTATAAAAGTGAGAGATAATAATGGTGATGTTAAATCTACTTTAGAATATATTTCAGTTAATAATTATTTACTTACTTCTAATAATTAAATTTAATAACTAAATTAGAATTAAGAATAATAAGCAATTTGAGAATGTGTTAAAAGATACTAAATGTATAAATCGATTTAGTATCAAAAGAAGAGTTAATATAAAATAAAATCCAAAATAATTTTAAATTTTAAGATAATCATCTGAAAAACTAAAAAATAAGAATAATTGATAAAGATCAATCCTATTAACGAAAAATCTGATATAATAAGCTATCAAGATTAAATGATTTAATAAAATAACTATTTAGAAAATTAAGACATAAAATCTAAGATTATTATCAAAGAAACATCTAAAGAAGAAATTAACTTATAAAGTGAAAATTAAGATATTAGTTTTCATTATAAAAATTAAACAAGTGATCAATTTTATCTTATCTTATAATAAGCAATTTTTGAATTAATTCATAGGATTCAATTAGAGGAAGTACACAAAATATTAAGAGATTTTTTTGATCAAGTTATTAATCATATATTTATAAGACTCGTTTTGATATGCTGAATATTAATAAAGTTTTGAGTTTAGTATAGAATTAACATCCTTAAGCTATTTTTAATTATCAATAATTTAAAATGTTTATTAGACTTACATGAATAAGAAAAAATAAAATTAGATGAACATAAATACTTCTATATTTAATTAGATGTAATAATCTCTAATTTTATATATTAATTTTTAATTTATAAGTATTTTAACAATTAACCTTGATAATAATAAATAACAAATATATATATAAATGATGTTATCATTTTTCAATACATTTTTATTGCATTTTCATTATATTCAAACTAATTTTGTAATAATTTATATCTAAGTTCAATCCATCTTCCAACTTTCTTATTCTTTTTATATTATTACATTTTATCCCAATTTTAATATGAATGTTATTTAAAACATATATACTATTTACAAAATTTTAAACCATACTTATATTAAACATAATAAATTACTTAACTAGAACTATTTTTATATCATATTTATATACTTATAGAAATTATGACTTAATTCTTTCCAAACACCATTCTTTAATCCTTCTTAATAATCATATGATCCATCACCACTATATAACAGATATTATAATGATATAAATGTTACAAATATTCGTCATTATTAATGATATTCCATTTTCCTTTTTTTTACCCAAAACATATTCTCCTTTATAAGTTATTTAACTAAACTAATAAGTCATAACTAGTTAGATTCTATAATCATAAAATCATCACTTATTTCTACCCATTTAGATCGTTTTATTCTTACGAATAAGAAAATTTTTATATGATGAAAACAAATAAACCATTGAAAATTTTATTCAAATTGAGGAGTATTGAATCAATGCAATCTCAAGTACTCGATGCATCTGAATTTTAAGAGTGGGACTCAAAAGGGAAAAAATGGAAACATTAAGAAGAATTATAGAATTATAAATAAAATTATGATAATTGGGATATTTTGAATGTTGTAAGAAAGAACATCAACTATTTTCCTTATAATTTGTAAAATTATTAAAAACTTTATAGATCAATCCTTCTTTTTTTTTTATTATTTCAGTTTATTGGTTTTATAACATTGTTTTGTATTGGTATTATTTAGAAGATTCTGAATATTATTAATCTATCGTATGCACAATCAAAGATGGATATTTGAATATAAATTGCATCTGGGAGTAATATGATGAAAATACTTTTAAATAATTTTTATTATTCATTTTCATAATCATTTTGTTACCACTAATAAAAATTTCATTTGAGTCTGTACCAAATATGATAAAACTTTAGAATAGAATAAAATAGAAAGGGTTAGAAGAAGGTATTAGTGAAAATGTATATTAAAATATTATTATCTTATAAACAATATGTTTTTTTAATTTTTTTTCATAAATCATTTCTTTATTTAAATTAACAGCTAATCTTATTTAGTCTAAGATATTGGAGATATCAGAAACAAAAAATTATATAATTTTATATCTAATTTACTTTATAAGCTATATGTATATGCTTTTATTTAATATTATAGATGAATTTATTCAACTAAATAATTACAAAAATACAATATATATTGGGTTTTAGGCGTTCTTCAATAACATTTCATCAAGTAGTCAAGAGGTAAGACGCTGCTCTCAGGAAGCAGAGGTCCGAGTTCAAGTCTTCGGGTTGATGAATTTTTTTATTTAATTAATTATTGTTTATTATTAAAATATAATTAATAAATTAGAGTCTTTAAATTTTATCAATTATAGTAAATTAATATATATAAATAAATGATCATTAATAATCTATTTTTGAGATTTATTAAATTTAAACTTATGATTAAATTAATGATAATATAACTAAGTATTTACTATAATAAATTTTTAAGTCAAAGACAGGTTTCTCTTACTTTGGAGAATATAAAGTATGCAAAAATTAGTAGATTTGATACAGAGAACAAATTTTACAATTATACTGAATTTGAAGTAATGTAAGGAATTTAATTATCAATAAAAGTGGTGTAGGTGTATATGTCTATAATGAGATCAAAATTGGTTTATGGGTTGAATTAATTAGTAATTTTGTTAAGCGTTTTTATACTAAATAGTAAAAATTAAGTGTAATATTCTGGTTTTTATAAAATGAATTAAAAAGTGGTTAATAGAACATTTTATAAAAATAATATAATGATTTTTAGATTGTGCAATTATCATAAAATTTTCAAGAAGAGGAGGTGGATTTTATAAGAAGGCATGAAAATTGGAAAATTGATGGAATTGAGTTCAGATTGTGACTATAACTCTACTTATATTGAAGAATATAAAAAAGATTGAAAGATTAACAGATGGAAAATTTTATTTTTAAATTCAGACAACTGATAATTAAAAAGTTATGTATTTATAAAATTCGATTAATAATGGTGGAGGTTTAAGTAAATTAAACTGAATGAAGCATGGAATATGGGTAGAGATATAGAATTACTAAGGAAAGTAAATTATAATTAGATTTAATATAATTGCTTCAATTGGAGAATATTAAAATGGAAAAAATTATGCAAATAGTATTTTCTTAAAAAATATCCCATAAACCTACTTTTTTATTATTTTTATATTCACCAGTATAAAGACCTATGTGGTATTCTAAAATCCATCGATTAATTCAATCCATTTACCATTTTTTTAACCTTATAAATTGTAACTTCCACCACCACTATATGATTAATAATTATTTAAATATTTCTGTTTTTCTAACTAAATATAAGCCTAATTATTTTATCTTAATCCATTTAAATATTCTCTAAATTCATAAATCTATGCTTGCCTAATAAATCACTTTAATATTACAAATTATAATTCTTAATCAGGTCATTTCATTGTCCATATATTTTTCAGTCATCAGAGTATAATTTACTTAATTAATTGGTTTTATTTTAACTCTACTATCCATCTACGTTATTTATAGTTTAGCCTATCCATGTAACTTTCCATTTGCCAATTTTTTAATTAGTTTATCCATATTATCTAAACCAATCAAGGTTTTTTATATATTTCCAATTAGTAAAATATCAAGTTCTATATCATTCTATTTTTCTTATTTTATATTATATAAAGAATGAAATATTTATATTTTTATAAATTAGCCAACAATATAGTATTTAATTTAATTTTCATAAGTCAAAATTATTGTTAATATCTTCGAAATTGATTTATAATTTTTTTATACCAAAATACGCATTCATATTACTTAATGATATTTGTTTAGTCATAATCTCCAATTCATTTTTAATATGATTCATGATTTTCTTTGTTAATAATTTAAATTGTTTTATTTAATAAATTTAAGCTATTAAATTAAAATAATTTCAATATAAGAATTTTGAAGTTCAAAATTATTATATTGTGATATTTTTCTTTTTTCCATTAAAATTTAAAGTTGAAATTTATCTAAAAGGAAATTTTAATTCATTCAAATACTATTGAGCATTAAGTATCAAATAACTTGTGAATCAAATGAATTTATACAAATGTTTGGGTTATAAGGTATTACTCGCAGTTTATAAGAGGATTGCTGCAACCTTATAATTACATATATATAAAGAGAGGACAATAATCTTTCCCTATTCCAAGAAGCCTTCGATTTCATTTAAAGTTATTTATGGTGCTGTTTTTTATCTACAAAAATTATAAACACTAAACCATTCAGAAAGAGGAAGGGTGTTAAAAGAGTAATGTTGAATTGCTATAAAAAAAAATTTGAAAAGCATCTTGGTTTCAAAAATATTAATTATTAATATGATAATACTTCCGATGTATTTGTAAAATTGAGTATTCTATTATTTCATCATTTTAAGGACTACAAAAAATAGAAGATTGATTTTTCATTATTATCAAATTAGATAAGATAAATATTAAATCAATTCGATAAAATCTTGAAAAATTTAATGTTACTTTTATAGAAGTGTTATTATGATTGCTAAGTAAATTATTAAGCTTTTTAAGAAGACTTTAAAAATGAGATAATTTTTGTATATTTTGAAAAATTATAATTTTTATAATTTAATTTCTTATTTTCAAATCAATAATTTTTGTTACATAAAAATTTGATTTCAAAATTTAGGTAATTTAATACATAAATTCTATACTATAAATTTAATACTCAATTATAAATAAATAGCAAATTTTAAGATTATAATCCCTTTTTGCTTATATTTCATACTCAAATAAAAAAGTTCTGCATTATTTCGTTTGAATATTAAACTGAATTTTAATTCATATTGCATCTGATAATTAAATAATTCATTTATTTAATAAATACTTGGACTGATTGTTTCATCAATATACATTTTGTTATCTCTTTTGCAATTAATACTTCTACATATAATACTTTTGATTTTTAATTATATTTTATTGTATAAGATAATAATAATTGAAAAATAATATCAATATTCTATTTTTTTTAATGATATAATATTTCATTCTCACAGCTATCTTATGGCAATTTATTTAGAATCTTAATCATATGTTAATAAAACGTTTCCATCATTACTAATCATTCCTTCTAACTTACCATCTTCAACACAATATTCAATTTTTAAATCGTTATTTTGATAAACTTTAATTATATTCAATTTGGAATTAATTGAAATTAATAATAGCTATTTTTATTTTATAAATTGTATAATTATAATATTATTTGAAATTATCTTTCCAGTTTAAAAATTAATTGATTTAATTTTTTCAAACTATAAATTATCTTAGTTTTGAGTATAAATGCATAACTAAGAGTTTTCAGAAGATATAAATGACTTATCCTAAATAAATTTTATTTAAGGTTATTTTTCTTATATTTTAATTTTTTGTATTAAATCCCATTTTTTTGCCTAATATTATTTCTATAGGATCTAAATCTTTGATTCACAACTAAAAATAATAATATTCTCAGAATCATTCATATCAGCATTAAAAAATTCAAAACCTCTAATTTCTTAAAACTATTCTTTTTAATATATCCATTTTTAATCATTAAATTTTTGATACATAGTTATGCTTATCTATTTTATAATAAGGTTAATAGTTTGACTTAATAAAATAAACGATTCATCTTTTGTTATGAATAATTATTGAGGGATGAAGGGTGAATCTATAGAATGTTATTTTTACCATTAATTATTGACTTTTTAAAAAATATCAATCTTAATACTAATATCAGTTAAAAGACCAAAACAATTTATTTTATTTGCCAAAGATATAAATCCATCTGTGTCATTAATAAAAAATAATTTTAATGCCTCCTATTGTTTAATTACTTATATTTCTTAAAAAGATTAATTTTTAAACTAATATATTTTGATAAAATTCTAAAATCCGCAAATAATTATAGATGAATCTTAATTTTAAGCTATTGTCTTACATATTTCTTTCTCCTTTATTTACCATTACTATAAAAGATAATATTAAAAAAGATCTGTCTAATTTATAATATAAATAATTACTTATTTTACTTTTAATTCCTGAATACTTTCTTTAAGAGTTTGGCATAATAATTAAGTATTTTAGTTGATATTCATCATAAATCTCTTCCTATATTCTTCAAACTTAATCATATTATCCACAGCAATATTTAAATTATTTCCCTTTAAACATTTTAACCTATCTAATGTCCATTCAAATGTTTTTTAAAGATTTTATTTTAATTCTTTGAATTAAAAGCAAAAGTCATCAACTATATTATCAAGTTATTTTATCGTCTCTGAAAATTAAATGTTGCCTATTTTTATATAATTTGGAAATTCATCTATTTTAAACAAATATTAATCATTATGAACATGTTTGTGATCATTCTTTATGCATTGATTAAAACAATGAAATCTATTGTCCTTGCAATTTTCATATGCACAAAAAAAGTCGGCATTCTCATTATGACCGGAAAGGCATTGAATCTGAAACATTATATATTCAATTAAAGAATTTATATAAATAATGTAATTCTATTATCTAAAAATTATAATTGAATTAGTATATTAAATGGATAATTAATTTTTACAAATTAAAAAGTTAAGAAAAAATGTAAAATATAATTCTAATTTAAAAACTGTATTTATTGTCTTAATTGCTTAAATAATAGTTATATTGAAAAGCATAAGGTTGATGCAGTTCAATATATTTATAGAATTTCCCTTCAGATGAGTTAAACATGATGAATACGATTGAAATTTTTACTAAGCTTTCTTTCCATAAACTTTTAATTTAATTTTTTATGAAATTGACAGGATCATTTTTTTTAATAATAGGTGACAATTTTCATTTCTGTGAAATATGATATAAAAATAGATAATTGAATTTTATTACTATTATTAATTAGATGACTATAGATTTGGGTTTTATTATCATTCCAATTAAATATTCAAATAAGAACAAAAAAAAAGATGATCATCATTTTAGAATAATTTTTATTTATATCTTAAAACAGTAAAATGTTTATTCCTATTCTTTAGTTTGTTTGATGTGTTGCTTATACCTTCTTTTTAATATTTTTAATTTTCTTTAATATTTATAAGATATGTTGATTGTTTTTGATTAAAGAAAATATTCATAGTATTATATAAAACTTGTTATAATTATTGAAAAATTTGTTTAAGAAAATAAAAGTAATCCCTAAAATAGAAATCTATCATTCAATAATTAATTATTATTTTGCTTATATGATGAAGAAGCATCTATTGAAAATTTATAATCAAGAATGAATAAATAATATTAAAATCAAACAAAATATTTTCAATTAATTATTTAATTTCTTGTTTAAATTGTTTTTATACTAAATGAATTATTAAATCCTCATTATTTGAACTTTTTTAATTAAAATTCAGTATAATATTTTTATAAATTTACTGTTATATAGTTTTAGAAACTGAAAATTTTATTGTTAAATATTAATTGATAATCGATTTATATGAATAGCATAGTCAAAATTAAAATTTCACAAGTTTAAATATGATGATAATATTAATTTATTTTAATTATTTCATTTTTTTTATTTAATAAATAAATTAATTTTTATTAATTTTTTTAATTTCTAATTAATATTCATTTATTGAGAAACACTTTTTTTTTGATTTGTATTTTTTCAAAATAAAAAAATTATGTAAGAATATATCCTAATTCATAAACACATTAATCTATATCATTTCTTATTTTAGTTTAAACTTTGCTCCTGTATTAGTTGTTTATTAATTGAGCAATTATCATATTTTGATTTTTATAAATGAATTGATAAAGGGAGCTAAACAACTAAATTAATAATTATTCTTAGATATTTTAGAGTGATTTTATTTGCTAAATTTAGTAGAAAATGATACAATCATAATTTAAAAATAGAATGCTTGAAAACTGTTATACTTGTATCTAACAATTAATTCGGTAATACTAGAAATACGAAAGGATAGAAATTAATTAACTTACATTACTAATCACCAGATTAATACTGAAAGAAATGATTTCTCATTTAAATTTAATATTGATGCAAATATATATATATATATCTGGAATCTAGATATTTGATAGTCAAAAAATTTTAAATAATTTGAGCCCTTGGTGATAAATGGTCTAGTTTAATTAATAGATACTGTTATAATTAAAATTAGATATCCAGTTTAATTTTCTAGTTTATATAATTTATTAATCTCATTATAGTATGATTTAGATACTTTATTTTAATAAAATTGGTTTGATAATATGTTTTATTACTAAATGCAAATGTAATAAATATTTATAATTTAAAAACCAAATGGAATTTTAAACAATAAAGTACTTTAATTTTTTGATATAATGAAATCTAATCTTAATTTTTACAATTTTTAAATTAACCAATGTGTTTATAATTTAATTATCCTTTTAAAATTTATTCACAGATTATAGAAGTTCATATAATCCATTATGATTTAAAGTATTAATGTATCTACTTATTTCTTTTTCTAATGAAATTATTAATTTTAATGTATATTATGAGAAAATCAATTGAATTTTTATTTACTCTTTATAGCTACTAATTTAAATTTATTGATTAAACAAGTATGTTAATATTATAAAATATAATATAAACAAGTAATTTATTTTTTAAATAAAGCACAATAAAGAAAGTGATAGTTTATTTAAAGGTAGCATCTTGTTCAAGATTATTATTCATAAATCTTCAAAACTTGGGGCCAAACATATCTATAAAAGAGGAGAAAATGATTATTCTGTGAAGAAAGCATAAAAACATGGAATAATATATATAGTTTAATAAATGTAATTTAGGAAAATAGCTCCTATAATGTTTATTGATTAACCTTTTAAAATTGGATTGGGTTATTCCTAATCAAATATAAATGTTGAAAACTCAGAATAAGCTGCCCTTAAAAGTTGAATATTTTTAATAAAAGAATTTTTATGTTTTCACCATAAGTTATAGCTACCATTATATATCAGTTATTAGAGTAACATTAACAGAATTGAATTCAGATATGAATTTCCAAGGTATAACTTTTGGAAATGATTGAACAGGAGCAATCATTTAAGACCAAAGTAATGTATCATATATATTAGTTTGGAATCTATATTGAATAAAAAAAGTTATACCCAAGAGTTAATAACTAAGCTATCAAATAATATACTACATGAAAATTACCTTGAGTCTAAAGAAGGGATTATTTGACATATTTTATATTTTAAACAATTACACAGGTCAATGATAACTTGAATGAAGGATCCTATAAAGAAAACATTATTCAGATTTGATAATTCTATATAAACAATAATTTGTAGCCTCCGATGAATAAGAGGATATTATTAAGAATTTTGAAGTTGACCTTGGAATAATTATCAAATATTGGAAATAAGTGTAAATTTATTAAGGATCTAGAGTAATTATGAATTATAACATAAACAAATTAAATTAGATTGAAAACTGAAAGTAACATAAAATTTAATAACAACTTTTATTTTGCAAACTTTGTATAATGTGAGGCATTTTGCTCAAAACTATTTACCAATAGCTATTAAAAATGCTAACCACTGCTTAAATGAAGATCAAAGTTGGAATATATAAATACTTTTATGTAAAATAAGATTTGTAAATTGTTTATAATTTTCAAAATCTAATTTGAAATTCTTTATGTTGCTATTCATAATAATTAAATTGCATTATCTACTATTACTTATTTTTTTGAGTATTATATCAAATTCATTATCAGAATAGGCTTTTCTAAATTTATTTCTGTTCTGGTTCTCCATACACACCTATTTTCATTGAACTATTTTTCTGTTTATCTTATTTGTACTATTAACCTTAATAATTATTTATCTGTTCACTTAATTCTATTCAATAATTCATACCTAACTCTAGACTTTGTTTTTAGTATTTGTTACATTTTCCTATTTAATTTATGTAATATTTTTCAATAATTCAATTTTTTATGAACCCATTAATATATTAATTTTATGTATTTCTTAAAACTGAGTAAGCAAAATGCTTTGTAAAGTATATTCATTATTACTTTCAAAAGTTTGTATTTATTTTTAAAAATAGATTATTATTTCAAATATTTGAAATAATAATCTATTTTTAAAAAAATTAATTAGAAATTTAAATAATTTCAAGAGATTTATGTATTCTTAAAATATACAAAGAAAAATAACTTTAGAATTATTTAGAAATTGTTAGATAACAATGCAAGTAGTTATAGTAGAGATTATACTTATTAATTATTATTTTTAAGATAAATTGTATTTATCAAATCTTTGTGAAATCTTCAAATATTTCTTCTAAACAGTTATGCATTATTAAAAAATGCATTAAATGAAAAACTGTATTGAAATCCATTTTGTTCAAACTTGAAGCTATTAATCTATAAATTATGATTCTTCCAAAAATTTGAAAGCTGTTCTAAAAAAACTTGTGATATAATTATATTGCCTGTAAAAATTATTGCCACTTTATAAAATTCTGATATCATTGTTATTCTAAAATAGTATAATAAATACTTTGTTAAGTAAAAAAATACATAATGACATTAGGTGTCATCAATAAAATAATAAGAAGAAACTGGCTGATGAAAGCAGCAATCCATCTCAATTTTCTTGTAATACAATCTCATTATAAAAAAATTAGTGGGTTTAAAATAGTGAATAAACAAAAAAAAAGAATTTCATTTTTTAACATCTAAAATACAACTATTGCTTTAGTTAATAATAAATTGAATTATGAGAGTACTTCTAAGATTCTATTACTAAGTTCAATAATTTTGTCTTTATAATTAAATAATGAAATAATTTAATGAATTTACTAAAATAATCATTGAATATACATTTAATTTTTTATTGAAAATTGTAGAGTTACTTTTATATATACAAAATTTCTTTTTGATAAAATGTTTGAGGAATTTAAATTAAATTATTTAGCTTAAAAACTCTATTACTGGCCTTTTTAATCTTTTATATTTTTTAAATATATTAATAGCCATATATTTAAATGATATAGAGCTAGTATGCTAATAACAATTTTCTGAGATTGTTCTACTAAACACTAAACTTCATATACTAGTATATTAGTATATTTATAAGGTTGAATCATTAAATTAAGTTTGTAGTAAATTTACAGTTCTGAACTCAATCTTAAAGGATTCATTTAATCTACAAGAAAATCTTCTTTGGCTGGTTCTATATAAATTATTGATTGAATGATCAATTTGTTACTCTTTTTAATTACCAAATAATCTCATTTCCATTAAGAACAAGAGGCTTTTCGTTTGCTAAAACAGTATTATAAGTTTCCTCTGCAATTAAAGCTATGAACTTTTACAATTCAACAATAGTTTAAATATTTAAATGTTTAAATGTTTATTATAATAGTCATTTTTATCCACTATTCTAGAC